ACTTGTTAGCCTGTCATCTAGCCTAGTGAGTCACATGTTGTATCTCCTGGAAGCTGGTAACACCCCAGAAGTCATTAACTTAGCATAATACGTGCTTAACCAAAATTTTGTCTCATATTAATAACAGCTCCAACTGGGCTTGCATGACAGTCTAGAGAAGGGGACAATTGCCAACAGGTGCCTAAGAATAGAGCACACTTTAGTATTCAAGATGTCTGGGAAAAGAATTTTAGAGCATTTGGTTTTGAATCAAAGGCTTCTATTCCAAGAAGTGATAGAGATTTTATAAATAGGACACCATGTTACAGTTGTATTGTCTAAAAGGCAGAACATAGGCTGAGTGAAAAAGATGGACACAGAGAGAAGATGGGGATGCCCTGAGCAGGATGGCTCCCATGTGAGGGCAACATTCAAAAGATGGGATGATGCTGGGAGCTCCAAATCTCTGGCTTCAGAGACAAAGACCATCTTGAGGGTGTCTGGATAAACACAGCTAAGCTATCAGGATGCTTCATCTCCTCAGAGGGAGGGAGTCCAAATGGTGCAGTGTTGCAGGCAGCCAGAATAACATGTGCTGCGTGACGTGAGATATTTAAGCACACATGGGCTTTTCTGTGTCTCCTGCCAATCTGCAGAGTGACTTGTACTGTAAGAAGCTGGGCTGAGAAGAGAGAATTCCTCTGATGGGCATAACCTAGCAGCCTTCCTACGAGGGCCATGTGGATGAAAGGCCTGACTTGGTTATGGGAAAACCCTACAATGTCACACTTACCCTTCCAAAAAGATGAAGGTGTCTACTCCATGTCTGACTTCCAGATAGTCCTGCTCATCCTCAAGATGTAAACCTGAAGAAACAGAAATGCTCCAGCTGCACAGGACAGCATCTGTGACAGGGAGGAGCACAGCAGGTGAAGATGTGTTCTGTGCTCAGTCCCTGCCCTTCCCTCCAGGTGGCTTCTCCCCCATGCACAGGGATGCCTCCTGGCCCATCAGGCATCGAGCTGCCTCAGGTGATGCACATGTGCCTACTTGACTCTCTCCTAGAAAAACCTCATGCCTCCCTAAGCATTACTCACACCCATCCATAAGCATACACATGTAAACAGCATGATGCTGCATTAACACAGACCTATGATAATGGCAGTGAAACATGAAAGCTTTTTTCCTCACACTTGTTTTTCCAGTTTGAAAGAGCCTGTGAGTCCCTGCACAGATGGCAGTGGAATACAGGCTCCAATTGCTTGCCCAGCAGCCTGGCTGCATTTCTGCCCGCCTTGCACCAGCATAGCAACAGCACTGCCACAGACACTGCAGGGCAGGAGCCTTGGGTGCTTCTGACCCGGGTGTCATTTGGTGTCATGGGTAATTGTTGCTTCTTTACACAAAACAAACAAAGCCCTGCTGTACCATCAGAGTCACCTGCTGTGGTTTGCCCAGGGGGAGAGAAGCAGGCAGTCATGGTCTGGCTGATGCAAGAAAGCATGGCGTGCTGCTGGGGGGATTAGTGGCATGCAAAGCCTTTCTGAGCACACGTCAGTTCAGCTTTCCTCTCCATATGTGCACACTCCATCCTAAACATGGGAACTGTCTGCCGGCTGCACTTGTGGAAGCAGTCAGATTGAGTGTTTGTAGCTGGGGGACTCAAAGCAGAGTGACACGCTCCCTCTTCTCCCAAACAAACCAGGGCAGCTGGAAGGGCTGAGGCTGGCCGGAAGGCCACAGGATGGGAATCGCCTCCTGAGGGTGACCGGGCAGAAATCAGTGCTCTTTGCTAATGGCTCCTTCCGCTCTGTACACCAGGGCCTGGTGAAGCAGGAGGAGGAAAATGCTGTTTGTGGAGGAGCAGGGTTGGTTTGCCTGGTTGCAGGCAGGGCCAGCTGCCGCAGCCGTGACCCAGCCACAGAAATCTGAGCCCGCCAGCAGTTGTGCTGGGAGGGCTGTGCTCTCACGTTTCCGTTTTGTTGTGGAGCCTCTGATAAGTAGCAGCCTTGCTTTTTTTCTTCTTTCCTTTCTTCCTTTCTTTCTTTCTGTCTCACTTTTTTTTTTTTTCTTCTTTTTTTTCCTGAATGTACTTCCACAGTCTCAAGGAAGGAATTTAATAAAAAAAAAGAAAAAAGAAAAAAAAAGAGCTCTGGAATGGGAACAAGTATGTTTCAAATTACAGAAAGGATGTTAAAGGTTCAAGAATTTGCGATCTGACTCCGCCTGTGTCTGTCTCCACCTCCCAGAGAGCAGCTCGCCTTGTGGCTTTTCCACCACGGCGGTGGGGCCGCGCTGCCAGGGGCCGGGGCCGTGCCTGGTGGGTACCGTGGCGGAGCAGCGGCCCTGCAGAGGCACCGGGCCCGTCAGACAGCGGGCTTCTTGGGACACTGGGCCAAGCTGGGACGTGGCCTTCCAGCCTGCGCCGTGCCCGGCTGTTGCCGGTGGGACGTCCCGCACCCTCACAAGCTGCATTTCCAAGGGCTTCAGAAAACCTTTTTAGCAGTGCACAGTTCGGCTTGAGCGCGGTCCTTTTTCTTGTCTCCCAGGGTGTGTATGTGCAGGACCTTTTTTTCCAGTGGTTCGGCTGCATCCCAGGAATGTGCTGGGACCACTTCTGAGAGCGCAGCGCCCTCTGCTCGGTGGAAATGGACAAAGGTGCAGCCTTCGCGGGGGCCAAACCCAAGGTGCACGGTCCTCCTGTGCTGGCACCCGGGAAAGCAGTGCTGCCGTGAACACCACCCTTGCCTCACGGTGGGGCCAGGTCCCAGGGGCTGAAGCTGTGCCATAGGCTGTAAAGCTGTGCTATGCTCTGGTCCCAGCTCCCCAGCTCAGACTTCTCAGTACGTGTGTACTCAGAGTCACTGGTGCTCCCACTTTGGCTACACAAAGATGGGGTGAGAAGGAACCACTGGCAAAGAGGATAGTCACAGTGGCTTGATCTTCCCTGAAGTTCATGGCTGGATCTAGTCTCAGGCCCTCATGGGGTCATACCCTGTAGACCTCCATTGTATGACTGCTTAGTTTATCTTGTGACATCAAATGCAGGCATAGACATCAGGGAATTGACATACTCGATGTGTATTTGGCAGGACATTATTTCCATGTTCTTCCATGACACGATCAGATCCCCCCTTCTCCCTGAGGTTGGGAATACATTGGTCCCCAGAAAGCAGTGCAGCTATCACATCAGTGAAGCATGTGAGAAGTGAGGGCACGGAGAAGGACACCAGAGCAATTTGTCCAGCCTGCAGACCAGTCCTGCTGGCATCTCAGCAGCCTGCAGGAAAGTAGTGGCAAGGAATGAACTATGAGTTGGCTGAATGCTTCTGTGGGCCAAATTCAGAATGCAGTCTGTTTGCTGGGTTCTCTGGGGTAAGGAACTATGGATTAGCTTCAGTATTACAGATAGATAAGGAATAAGCGAATCACCTATTGAACAAGAAAAGAACAACTATAACTTACATTTTCAAGAATTGAGATCTATTCTGACCTATGTCTTTTCCAGTGTCTTGCTAAAACAATTAGCATCACTCAAATGACCCAAATCCTCTGTCTCACACTGAAAAAAATAAATTCTGTTATTGCAAACTTTCATTCCATCATCTCTTCAGATTTGGTAGAGTTGTTGTGATTTATGCAGGTGAGGATTTACTCAATGAATAGACAGGGAACGTAAGCATCTCAGTACACCATCGAGTGTGTTGTGCATAGCATGCTCCCAATCTCATGATGCTGGATTTTGTGCACAGCTGCAGGACACTTCTTTGAATAAGGCGCATGTCCACTGATATATGCAGAATATCTTTTGGTGTACCATTATATGAATGAGAGGCCACTGGAACAAAGAACTATCGATGCAAGCTTAAAAGATGACAACCAATATCAGTGTATCCACTTCCGCAGTGTATGAAATTTCTCCTTTGAAAGCAAATCCTAAAAATCCTTTTGGCCAGTTCAGCGAGACATGAACAAGCTGAAATAGCTCTGCATATAACATTAGTTGTGTTGTATATGTGCATACATATATATATATATGAGATTTTCAAAGATTATGACTAGCAATGTCTTTTTTTTTTAATGCAGAGCTGTATTTTCATAGGTGTTGCCGTGGCACCTAGGAAATCAGTCTGAATGGAACCTCCTTCTGCTGGGTAAGGTCTGTTACAGATAGAAGATATTCCCTGTGAGAGATCTAAATGTTCATTTAAAGTAGCTAACACATTAGATACAGTAGTGTGCATGCTGAGTTTTCAAAACACGTTACTTAATAGTAGTTATTTGCTTTCTACCATTGAAGAGAGCTGGCTATGTCACTTGGCTGTATCACTCTCCCAGCACACAGAAGATGCAGCAATTCTGTTTCGCCAGCTTTCTGCACTGTCCAATTTTGTGCTGGCAGGCTGAATTCCTGAGGTATGTTAGATGAGTCTCAGAGCAGCCTTAATTTATGGCAGCTAAAACATTTCCTTCTGCATCATTTCACAGGTGTGGGATCAGGCGAGCAATTCATGTTCCATTCTCTGCCTGTCCCCGCTCAGCACCCAACTCAATTCATCCCCAAAGTGCCAGTACAAGGACAAATGCTGCCACCAAGCTTAAAAAAGCTTTGTTGATATGAGAGTGTTCAGAGAGACTCTGCAACAATGCAGACTGCAGCCACATCCCTCCACTGCACTGCCTGCATATGAATTCATAGAATTAACATTTTCACTGGCACTTACTGATTTTAGCTGGTTTTAGTTGCATCAAGCCACACGGTAGGACAGAATGTTGAACCTGGAGATCCTCCCCAGAGATTCACTCTCTTTTGATTTTATGTGTTTGGTGAAGTAGGTAGTTTTTACTTATCATACCTTTCTAGGAGCTAGAAATTTGGGTTTGAATTTGGTACATTTTTTTCAGGTTTTTTGTGATTTATTTATTTATTATTTTTAAGAAAGAAACCATCCATAGGCTTTCTGTGGTGTAAATGTACAACCTAGCTGCCATCACTGTTGAATCTGAAGAGAACCAAACAAAAGCCACACCTGCTGCAGGCCAGTACCCATCTATATTTGATTATGTTGCTTTCTTACAGAAGAGAGAATTTTTCATGGCTGTAGCTGGTCTAGAATCTTAAGGGCGATAATTGGGCAAATCAGTTTAGTTGGGCCAGTTCTGTGCAGACCTAAGCAGAATAGCAACGTGTGACTAATACACAACAGCACTGCGCATGAGATAAAGATGCACGCATAGCGTATGCAGCACAAACCCAGGATGCTATGGGAATAAACGATGAAGATATTTCCTAGTACATACATGGAGTCTGGCAGGACGGCAGGAAAATCACCAGATGACGTCCTGCTGGTGGCATTTTTTTGCACGGAAGACACAAAGTCTCTTTCAGAAGAGAACATGGACTCCGCTCGGGGCCGCCGGGTCCCGTGCTTTGCTCCCACCGCGGGGCTGCGGCGACACCCAGCGGGCAGGGCGGGCACCGACACTGCGCTGCCGCAGGGCCGGCCTCGGGTTCTCGCAGCCCTGGCCCAGGAGCGCCCTTCCCTTCTCGGGAGCGGTGCGTCAGCTGCTCTGTCTTAGGAAGAAGAGATCTCGAAGTGCAAAATGATGAGCGCGCCGCCCCCTTCACGTTTTTCACGTGTAAAAGGACGGGCTTCGTGGTGCGGCTTGGTATTTGGGAGTAAGATCTTGAAGGTCTGGTGTCTGATTCTGTGAAACATACCTCGGTGCTCATTAACAGTCAAGGAAAGCTAATAAAACATTGGGAGTTTTTAGGAAAGGAGAAGAGAACGAAAAGAAACAGTGTTACACTCATGCATGTGCAAACTCATCAGCGTCTTGAATGCTCGTTGCAGTTGTGATTCTTATTCCCATATATTCCACCTGGGAATGGTTCTGAGAAGGGAAATGATGATCAGTAGAGTCTGTCCTATGAGAAAAGATTGAATAGCTGGCATGTTTCGGCTTGGAAGAAAGAAAGAAAAATGGTGGGGACATGTGGGAGGGTGGAGAATACGATACAGGTCTGTAGGCCAGTGAGTAGCTGTGAGATAGATTTGGTAACCGGCTCCAGCTTTTGACCAAAACCACCAGACTTGCCTTGCAGAGGAACATTGACTTTATTTCTACATTCGATCACTTGGATTCTCTCAAATCCCCCCAAGCCCAGGACCACTATGAATTTTCTTTCAGTGTTTCTCCTACTATATTTCACTGGCTGACCTGCCTTCTCACTTCATTTTTACACCTCCTCCTTTTATTTCCTCTTTCACAGTTTTCTGTTCTGGATTCTGCTCTTTCAAGTGACTGATTGAAAAGAAAGAGATGAAAAAATATTAATCCCTGAGCATCAGCTCATCACTGACCCTGAGGAAATGGTCTGAGGTGGAAACAGTAAGGACAGCAAAGGTGACAGCTCTTCTGACTCTTGTCTGCAAAGTGGATATTGCCAGTAACATACCTAGTTCAGTGTTAAAATGCATTAAGCAGCTTGATAAGGAGTATCTATATTTATTTTTTCTTTCCACATCAATTCAGCAGCAGTCTTTGTTGTCCACTGGGTTTCAGTGGTTCCTCATCTGCTTACTGCTCAACTACACTTCTGTAATTTGTGCTTAAAGTAGTTGGTTACCCTATGTAACCTCTGATTCAAGATTAACCAGGCTAAAGCCTATACAGTGCCTGAACATAGATGCCTTTAGCATGGCAGTGATAGATGAAAAGGAATGAAGACTGGATCTAATAAAGTCATTCATATCTCAGATGCAGTTTGAAAACATTACGAGGCTGGGAGGTAAAAAGATTTGCAAAGCTGACCCATTGCTTCTAGCCTTAAAACTAGACTATAGCTTATATTTAAACCCAACAACATGTAATAAGGGGTGGGAGTATTTGGCCATCATTAATAGGGCTTTCAGGTGATGAGTCACATGTCAGAACTGACTGCAAATCTAGGGGGAAGTCTGTGGTCCAATGACAAGTGGTTTAGCCTGCAGCAACTGGCAACCTCCAAGGAGTTTGTTGCTGACTGCTCAGGCTTTCAGAACTTGGACATGATTGCTACAGGCACTAAGAAAGAGGCACTTTAGGCACTTTCAAGAGAATGAAAAGTTCTGTAGTTTGAAGGTGGGTTTCTAGGGAATACTAGGTCTCCTAAGAAGAATGATCAGAGAGAAAGAAAAAAATAAAAGTCCCCGAGGATGGAGGAAAAGGTCTGATGGCATAGATATGCTGCCTTTGCAAATCATACATTAGCTTCGGGGGAAGACAGTATTGAGCTGATGCTTCTCATGCAGGTTTATGAGTGTGAATGAAAATGCCATTCAGCTTTGAGATCCATGCACTCTCACAGGAAGTTTATAAAACAGAAAAACAATCTTGATTTGTAGTTTAGTTCTTTAAGGCTTCTAAGCGTACGAGGCATTGTGTGATCTACCTTTCACTTAGGTAAGTAGTGTGTAATAAATGGTGCTGGATTGACAAGAAACGTGTCCTTTCAACAACTAAATTGAATGAGGGTGTGTTTACTTTGTATTATAACAAATTTAAAAAAACAACAAAAAAACAGTAAATAAGTGGAGTCACTTACCTATAGTCTACAATCCCTGTCTGATTCTGGTCTAGTTTTCGCACTAGTTCCACAATTTGGACCCGATCCAGTTGGATGTTTGATTGCTAAGAGGAGAGAGAAATATTTACAAATCTGTTCATTTTACAGCAGAAAAATCCTCTGTATCAGATTGGAGTGTGGCCATCTCCTAATAGGTGAGGAGAGAGCCTGGTTCATGGGAAAATACAGGATGTAAAAATCCAGAGTGATGGTGGGGAGGATAAAAATAATGTTGGGGATTTTTTATTTTTATTTTGTTTTGCAAAGGTGTAAAGTAGCATGATAGAGAGGTGACCAGTGCTGCTGGTACCATCACCATGGTAATTCTAGCAGGAAGAGAATTGTCTACTCAGTGTGTAGGTGCAAGGGTTTAAATAACTCTTACTCACTTTCTCATAGCAGTAAGAAATGATTATCTGTTAAGACCGAGTAGTTATATCCTGTACAAAAAGCTGACCTCTGTGATTTTTCAAGGTTCTTGTGATACTCTAAATTTGATCAGATAATCACCGATGCCCTCTGCAGTATTTACTGGATGTCACAGCATTTCTGTTGGAATCTGTTGAAGGCTCAGCTTTTGCAGTGGGTGCCTTTAGCCTACTTGTTGGAATATCACCAGCAAGGCTGACTGGTAGCTGTGGTGCAGCAGAGGGGTTTCCTCAGAGCAGTATGCTGTTGGAGGAGCACCCTGACCATGATTTCAGGAACACACCTGCATCATGGCTCTCCTGAAGTCTGACACAGGGATCTTCATGTTTCCATCCTTGTCAATTTTCCTAAAAAAGTCCCAGAGTCGTAGGTTGTGTTCATTCAAATATTTCTAAGAGAAGCAGAGATAGAACATAGGCACAACCATGAGGTGAAAAAGCCACTGATGCCTGCTGCAAGCTCTCCTCTTATTCCTCCATCCTGCCTTTACTCAGCCCATCTCTGAGATGTATTTCTCCTTTCCTATTTATGCAGACACTGTCTGAACAAAATCCCACCAGCGCTACTTGGCTGGGCTGTCTAATCCAAATACAACCTTTCTCCCCAATCTCTGATCACTTTAGTTTCTTTTCTCTGGACTCCCATCTGTTTGAAGGAGGATTACCGTAACTGCTGTTAGAAACTGCAAAGCATGCCAGTATGAGTGTCAGTCACTAGCTGTGAATCACAGCAGCACTATTTGATGTGAACTAACAGCTTAAACTTCTACTTATTTCATCTGAAGTCATAATACAGCAAGATTTCATCCAATTAACTAAAAATCTCCACAACAGCTAGAAAGCACAGTGAAGCTGGTAGTGCAAGAACTTAGTAGTGCTCCAGTGCCACGTTGCCTTCCAGCCAGGAGGATAGCACCATCTGCTGCTATCTGTAGAAATTACAGATCTTAAAAAGCTAAGTATTTCCTATTTAGAACAGTATTTGTTTATATTACCATACCCTGTTTTTATGAAACACATTCATTTTGATGCTAAATCACAATTGTCAGTGAAGAGTTCTGTGAATTTCAGTTCTTGCAGTGGCTTGGTGAGCAGAGTGCATGCTCATTTCGATCAAACCTGAAACCAATCAGTTTGTCCTCCTCAGCTAGCAAACATCTATTCAGATGGAAACAGAACAACACAGTGCAGTGATTACAGCACTTCGGGCTTGCTTATGTTGTCATCTCTGACACTGCTTTTTGCAGACTGTCAAACTGCACAGCTTCTGTTAGTCAGTATTCCCGGCTGTGGGAGAAATAATTTGGATGCACTTTTGAAAGAGAAATATATAGATGAATGATTTCATACAAATATATGGGATTATTATTACTAAATCACAACTATGCAAATCAAAAGCCACGCCCCCCCCCCATCCTCCCATTTTTTTTTTAGCCCAATATGCTCAGATCCCAAGGCATTCAGCCTCTCCTGAAAATTAAGGGATTTAGTTGGTCAGTCTGCATGGAATAAGAGATGTGAACGTGCAGTTTGATTCTGAATATACTTTTCTGAAGGAACTTGCCTGAATTTCCTACTTGGAAGAAAGCTTATCCATTCCAAACTCTTTCTCTTCAAGTGCTTGAAGCATGGGTGCTGTATACAGATCTATGTATAAAATTCAGTAGCTCACCTGAATCACTTTCATAGGATTTGGATGCTGGTTGGAGATTTTGGAGATGCAGCCTTCAACTTCCCCATAGATAACGTCTAGTTCAGGACGTGTTTGATACACTAACTCCAGCAACTTGATGAAAGTTTCATTCACCAGGACATTCTGAAACATAGAAAGAGGAATAGTGAGTGTGGATGACCAGAGTACCAAAAGACTTGTTTGCATTAACTGATCTAAAGTCAACATTAATTACTTTTTCCTAAGGTGGTGCCATTTTCCTATACCTGATCTTCACTTTCAGGAATCCTACAGAAGCCTGACCCTAAAGAAGTATTCTTAGTTCTCTTTTCCCATGTCTGAGTCAGAAAAGGACCTATAATTTACGTAAAAATTAATTTAATTAAGGTAAATGTTCAGCAGGTAAATGCCTATACTGAAAACTATACTAAATGTTAGGTGATCCGTGTTCATCTCAGAGACAGTTCTGCCTGGATCTCCTCTCCATTCTGATAAGACGTAGACAGCCAGGCAAACACTTAAGTGACCAAAATTTGTCTTGGAGTTCGGAAAAAATGAAAACAGTATCAGCCAAGGTGTAGAAAGATGAGTATCCCTGGCAGTGTGGCTTTGTAGCCCAGACAAGAGAGATGAAACTATCTAGGAAGAGTCTGTGTGTTTTCAGATGAAAAGAACTTATGGTAAAACACTGTTTCCTTGTCTAACCCTAAAGAGGAAGTTCCAGTTAGCAGTGTGAGGCCTGGCATTGCTTTTTTCCCAAGGATTTCAGACAGAATAGTGGCAGTTCAGCATGTCAGAGCTCACACTCTGAGTTTTCTGTTTTACTGCTTATAGAATGGGCAGCAGCACAGTGTCCTGTTTCAGGGTTTTGTGATGTTAGTTTACTGTCTGGAAAAAAAAAAGGAAAAAAGAAAGAAAAAAGATGTCACTGTAATTTCTTCTACCAATATAATGAATTTACCTTTACCTTGACTGACATTTTGAAAATATAATTACGATTTTCCAGAAGAGTAACGAAATACAGTTGTTCATGTGTTATGTTAGCTACATATTAAATTGATGGAAATTTCAAGGCAATTTAGGAAATGCTTCTGTTTTCTGTCACTGCAAAAAGTTTCCAAGGCATCAAGCATCATACTTTTCCCTGAAGTGTATTTACAAGGTATCCCAGTAAATTATTTTTAGCTAAAGAATTTACATTACAGTGAGGTCTTGATTGCAATTACTTGTGAATAGTCTTGAACTAGTCTGGGTCTGGCTGGATTTACTAGCCTTCATTCAGTGTTTTCATGGATGCAGCGTGGCTCACTGCCAAAGCCATTCAGACCTTGATGAAATACGCAGGCTTGCAGTGCATTTCGGTCTTGGGAACCCAGCACAGAGACCCAACCTGTCTCTGCCTGCAGCCAGCTCTCTCCAAGCCTTGCCAGGCTGGGCTTGACCCCAGGAGAAAGGCAGCAGGCTGCCAGTGTGGCCTCAGCACAACAAAGCACTGCGCCTGGCCAAGCTGGCCATGCTGGAGGAGGCCAGGTGGTTATTTCTGCGTCTTTGGCACAGTCATCCCACAGCCCAGAAAAACAATGCACAGGCAGCTGATAAGTAATGGACATTGTTTCATACCGTGCTGGTGAAGATAGGCACGTTGGCTGTTTTGATTCACGCCTTCCATAAAATATCTGATTGCCAGTAAATGTAAGTTGAAAGTCTATAAAAGTAGATTATGGAAAGAGTGCGAGGAACCGCTGTGCTTAGAAATGGTAGAAATGGTAGAAATGTGCTTAGAAGCAATAAACTACATTAAAGAAAGACATTAAAAATGTGTCTTTCTATCACTTTATTAGTGCCTTTACTAGTGCTGTCAAACCTATGCGAAGGTTTCTAGAAATGATCCTAATTTGAGATCTCACTTACAGACACACTAATTATTCCTTCTTTGAAAGTCAAAATAAACATTTATCACTGAGAAAAGGGGCAGAAAAAGCTGTTAGGTTTCTTATTAAAGATTTTCTAATTTCTTAAAGGTTTAAGACAGCAGAAGAACTTTGCAGATGTATATTTGCAAATATTCTGAACTGAAATACAAGATTATCTACATCACAGGTGGAATGAAACATATCAGAGAGGTTAGACGTTTGTCTACAAACATGTGATTGAGATACCATAAAGGCATTGTAAATTTGTGCCACTGACTATTTACTTTAGGAAATGCCAGATAATGTAGACTTTTTGAGGGGTGAAGAAAAGAGAGCATTTGTTAACACTGAAAAGCAGAAATATTTAGTGAGATTTAAGATTCTAAATATTAATTAACTCCTTGCCTCAAAATTTCTCAAGTGACTCCTTTTAAATAACTGCATTTCAATAATTTCTTTAACTTCTCAGAATTTAGCCATAATGTATTACTCTTTATAAGGTTATGAATTGTTTAGGTTAGTAATAGTTAAACTAACATAACCATGCATACTATATCAAAGCCTTTTATTCACACACAGACTCTTAGATTTTTTTTTGCAAAATGAAGCAGTCTTGGCAAATAATTTTCTTTGATGTTAATTTATGCAGGAAAAAATATCTGCCCTGGAGGAATACCCGTTCTTTCTATCTCTGCTGAAAGCCCTTGGTACTCCCAGCAAAAACCATAGATGAATATTATTTATTCTGCTTTGTTTTCATTTCTTTGATACAGGAACCACAGGACAAAGACACCACCTGTTATCCAAGTCTCCAGAACTCCCCCTGAACTATTCAGCTTTTTGCAACTGTGAATATAGTATTTATCTGTCAAGACTCAAATCTGATTTTTTGAAAATGGTCTTTCCTTTAATCATGGCTCTCCCAAAGATAAACAGGGGATCCTGAAGCCACTGACACATTCCGTAAGTAATTCCATCCAGGCCTGCAAGCCACTCTTTCTCCCACTCACGTGGATGGGAGAGATAGAAGCGGACTGGTGCACGCCCAGGTCTCTGCTCAGCATGGGTTTGGGATGTAGCCCCTACCCTCATTTAGGAAATCAGAAGCATCTGTAGGACTTTCTGAGCCATTTTAGAAGTAGCACATGAGGTTACAATAATATGTCACGTTACCATCTTCCTATGGAGAGAAATGCATATTAACATTTGGCCTGCCTCTCTGATTCTTATACTCTCACCTTTAATTTTTTCCTTTGCTTTAATTTTTTTTTTTTAATAAGAAACACTTTGCTTTCAGTGCCTTGAAGCATCCATCTCTTTCTTTTCCTCTTTCATCCTGACAGAGTATTGAAGCACTTTACAGTATCTAGCATCTTAGGCTACCCTGGAGGGAGGCAGCTCAGGGGATGAAGAGAATTCATCCTCTACTGTGAATTCAGTCCTCCTGCTGCTGCAAAGTTGAAGGGAGTGAAATGTGATGATTTTACAGGCAAATCTCTGCAGAGATAGACCAAAAACCCATAATTTCCTTGTGGCTCCTGCAAGGGCTGTAAATTGGTAGCTTTTTTTTTTTCTTTTTTTTTTTTTTTTTCCCCTTAAATAATGGCTATGCATAAATAAAACAGATAGCAAGTCTCAAAACAGTTTTGAGGGGGACAGCACTGGGATTTAACTAGCTCCTAAAAATGTGTGCTGTATGGGCTTTGAAGTTTTCCGGTGTATAAGCTCTTACTGAGATGTTGATCTCTTCCATCATGGAATTGGGATTCTTTCTGACAGATCCCACTAACTCAGTGGCACCTTCCACGGTCAAGAGATTATTGGCCATCTGTGGAAAAAGAGATGTAGGCAGGCATAGTGAGAATGAAGCTTTTGTGTCCTTGCAGGAGGCATGCTGTAACCTCAGGAGTGACCCTTTCTTCCCATTCTTCAGCAGCTCTGTAGAATAACTGTGGTCCCTTTTGATGCATTTGTTCTTTGTCTCACCATCTCTTGTCTCTGTCCTCAAAACTCTGCAGTAGAGTTGCCTTCTCAGCCTCTATCTGTCTCCATCTACGAAATTTGACATGTCCCTGATGTGTGTCACATGGGAGAACGTGATGTGGGGTGTGCTTAGTCATATGATGGCAAAAGGCTGAGACAGTATTTGAGGACGTGTTTGCTAGTAAAGTTCATCTGAACAGAGAACCCTGTGAGATGGCAAGTACCCCTCAGGACCTTTCCCATACCCTTTGGATCCTCTTGGCAGCACAGCTGATCAAGGCTCAGGCTGATCAGCTGTCTCAGGCCTACAGGGTCAAGATATTTAGAGTTATGGGGCTGGCATTGCCATGTACATTCCTTAGTGTATGAACATCACCTCTTCTCCAACTTGAACTTTATATGTACTCTCCACTCCAATTATGTGAAAAAAACATGGTGGTTAACATAGGCTAATGGAATTCTAAATTATTAACTCTATATTATTTATGTTATCAGCTCCTAAGACAATCTGTACAGCTACACAAAAGAGCACTTGCTACCCTTTGCACCACTGCAAAGATATTGTTAGGACAGTAAGTGCTGTGTTCCATGTGCTGCTTGTAGGGTTGCCAGCTCCCAGAGAGGAATGCTTAAGCTTTAGCTAGTGATCTTACCTTTGACCATGTTAACAATGAGGCAAGCAGACACATTTATTTACGTAATCTAAAACAGCAATCCAAAAAAGGCAGTGTGGTTGCAGTGATTTACAAAGATGGGGTATCCAAAGACAGACCTGTACAAACAGTTTTAAAGATGTCCCTCAACCACTATACTGCCATTTGCAAGCTCTCAGGGTGATGACATTAGCTTTGGCTGAGATGAGAATCCACCTCATAAGCAGGCTGACTTTTCTGAGCAGAATTCCTACAGAACGATTTCAGATTGAGAAGATAGATTAGCTTTCAAGCCCAACCTCTAAAGCTAGTTTAGCTAGGCACCTTTGCACCATTCCAAGATTATTGGTTCTTAGCTTATCAGGATACAGTTTTGGCTTTCTTTTTCCAAGACTTGATAACATACCTCACGGTAGTGCTATGGCATTGTCTTGATGTAGCAATAGCATTTTGTCCTGTGTTTGAACAAATTTTTAGCAAATCATTAACACACTGAGAAAGGCATGTTCTGTTCTACCTTCAAAGCCTTCCAGTACTTGAAGGGAGTGCATAAACAGGAATAGAAATGACTATTTACATGGGTTGATAGTGATAGGACAAGTGATAGGATAAGACAGGGGAGGTATAGGTTAGATATTGGGAGGAAGTTTTTCATACAGAGGGCAGTGAGGCACTGGAACAGGTTGCTCAAGGGGGTTGTGGATGCCCCATCCCTGGAAGCATTCAAGGCCAGGCTGGATGTGGCTCTGGGCAGCCTGGTCTGGTGGTTGGTGACCCTGCACATAGAAGGGGGGTTGAAACTAGATGATCATTGTGGTCCTTTTCAACCCAGGCCCTTCTATGATTCTATGATTCAAATCTGTTTGTACTTTTGCCTTATGTTGAAGCTTAGAATATGTATAAATCTGTACATTCACAACTTTGTGTTATGGATATACACAGACCTGATGAATGCCTGGCCTCTCTGCTAGATATGTTGAATGCCTGGGCTCTCTCTTGACTGAGAATAGATATGACAGGAATCAACCACTTTGGGGTAGTAATAGGTGTGGTGTTCTGCCAGGGCCAGTATTTGGGTGATATTTTGAGGGAACAGTGCAATTAATTTTCCCTGGTAGAAACTCAGAGCATAGAATTTCCTTCTGCTTTGTTGTACCCATCTATCCTATTCTAGTTCAAACTGCTCACTCTGTCTTTCGTGCCTCAGAACTTTCTACTCCCACCATTTTCTCCTCCAGCCCTACCCGGGCTTTATTTTACCTTCAGAACTTTGAGTGTTCCATTGACTTTAAGGCCTTTGCAGATCTTCTTAGCTCCCTCATTGTTGATCTGGTTGTTGCTGATGTCCAGGTGAATCAGTACATTGTTAACTTTGAGAGCTTCTGCGAGGGCCTGTGCTCCCTCATTCCCAATGCTGTTCCAAGACAGGTTGAGTATCTTCAGTGCAGCATTGCCCTCCAGTGAGAGAAGAGAGATCTCAGCTACTGCATGTACACCATGTGTATCTACCCTTTCTCACTTAGCTGAGACAGGACCGTCTGTCAAGTCACATCCACCCCAGCCCCAATGAATTCAACATCTCTTCAATGTCCCAGCACCTCTCCATCCACCTACTCACTACTTTAGTTGTTCTTCACCTGGCACAGCCTCCTAATGTCAGTAGAATAAGCCTGGCTAGAGCTACTGAATTCTGCTCAGACCTCAGGTATGTGAGTTCGCAATCAGTGTTTCAGTCGGCTTCTGATAGTAATCACTATGAAGGGTATCACAAGAAAGGAGAACTCCTACCTTAAGACCTGTGCCAAGTGCTACTGTTCCCTTCCTCCTCAGGTGGTTCCAGCTCAGGTCCAGAATCTCCAGTGTTGTATTGACAGCTAAGAGAGAGAAATCGAGATGTTATCTTACGAAGAGCAGTCTGAGCACAAATGCTAACTCACAGGTAGGGGGCTCAGAGCAAGTTTGCTGGGGATACAGCAATAGCTGTACCTACAGTCTTCTCTGTTTGCTGCATCCACAGAACAGAGAACAGGCTATTGATCACAAGCAGAAAGGGAAGACAGCTTTTTTTTGGCTTAGTCGAAGGATGCATTGTGAAGGAGGGAGGTAAAGAGAGGAAGGATTTCTGACTCTAGTAGGCACTATTTCTCACTGGAAAAATGTTTGGATGCTCCTTGCTACATCCAAAACATCAAGACTCATTCTGCCTATCTATGATTAGCAGAGGAGAGGAATTCAGCTTCATAATAGTAGCTGTGCCCAGCTGTATACATGTCAATGCCAATTTCCATGCAGAACACACCTCACAGCTTAAGTTCTACTTAGAGCAGGATATGTGTGAATTCATTTGTGTCACTGTGACACTGAGAGGAGTAGAAGTTACTGCCAAAGCTTCTCATCTTCAGAAAGAATTTCTCATCCAGATTTTCCATGGATGGGAGAATGGACGGAAGCAGATGGTGAATTTAGCTAACTTTAAAATATTCCTTTAAAAAAAACAGATAAGAAGAAAAACAGATTCTGCAATAAACTTTGCAGCTCCTGCCTGTATTGAGCTGGTAGGAAGGAAAAGCTGTAAGAAGTTTTAGTTTGGAGATGCATTTTTTCTGGGCTGGGAAGGTCACAAGGTTCAGTATTGGTCCCTGGGTTCCCTTCAGACTTGTGCAATGCAGGGACATAGTGCCTAGTCCCCCATTGCAGTTTTAATTGATCCATCTTGTAAGGACGTGAGCTGTAATTAGAAGCAGGTTCCTATCAGTTTGAATACTGAACCAGGAGAATGAAATTGCTAATTAAACCAAAGGCATGTTACTGGCATTCTCAAGGAACACAGGAAGCTCAGGTCACAGGCTTGTGCCTGTCATGGTAGTAGTTTCTTGGGGGTGCTGAGGGAAGAAATGCTGCCAGATATCCATGCAAGTCTTTTCCAGTGCACAAATAGTACCACAAATCAATGACTGATTTTTACTGTTTTGTTTGTTTTCCCTCTCCAGGGCTAATATGCATCACAGATCTCACTTTGTCTGAAGAGCTAAATCAGGCAGCTTTATTTTATTTCTTTCTAGTCTGTTTCCCTTGCTGCTTGATACACAATGACTCAAATCACTAGGGTTTGTGATATTCAAGAAAAGTTTCAATTAGTGATCAAAAGCTTTAAACAAACAGTTTTTACACTCTTGAATTCCATTAAAATGTAATTTTTTGCTTTAAACACTGTAAAGGACTTCTCTTTCAGCTCCCTCTCCCTGACACAGACTCCCCTGTTACTGTGGTTTCTCATCCTTCATTTCTATTCTGAGACAGCTGTGAAACAGTGGCTGCAGTCAGTGTGGTGATGAGGGTGAGCTGGTGGACCAGCCAGGAATCTCTAAATCTGGTCTTCTGTATTGCCCACCAGGTCGTTGGACAAGAAGGAAGTACATGGTCACCATGCCGGACCCATTGTGTCTGCCAATGACTGCCTGCACTCCTGGCTCTTGGAAAGTAATAACGTAAGTTACCGAGCATCTGTCCTAGGACCTGTCCTCCCTTCTCAGAGAACTCATTGTGGCTGAGGTCCAGCTTCTTCACTTGGTAATTGCTCTGCAGAGAGACAAATGTGCAGGAAGAATGAGATCTTCTGACCAGCTGCAGCCGGCTGCCATGCTAAGGCTCCAACATGAGGATGAAACAGAGGGGTGTTGAACACATTGAAATCTACAGCATGTGGGAGTTCATCAACATGGAGATGGTGGCACTGTGCACCCCAAGACAAAGCTTTGTCAGTCATACAACGTCATAGCAATTATCTTCCCAAAACAGCAAAAGCAATTGGACTTTGTGTTGTGCAAACTTCTCTCACACAGCTTATGTCTGAACTGTAACACATCCGGTTCCTGGCCCCTATTTCACTGCCAGCACTGAATCCTAACCAAGAGCACTTTCTATCATTAGCCTAAGGCCTTCCCTCATGGCATCTTCTGGTGGTGCCAAATAGTGCAGAAACTTGGAAGCAAGAAATAAGAAGAGAAACCAAGATTTTTGTTGCAGAATTGCAGAGTGCTCTTATGTTAGCCTACTTAGTTTCTTGAAAATTTGGGATCACTCATATTTCCTTCTGTTGTTACACAGTCCTGAGGTTTTATTTCTCAGCCAGACTTACAAAGCCATTCAGAGAAAATGTTAATCCAGTCCATCCTTCTTAGTATCCTCTAGGCTCCCTCGTTTCTGAAGCAAGCAAGAGGCACTTAGCAGAATTGTGCCAGGAACTCATATAGTTATTGCCATCTGAAATTATGCCAAGTGAATAGCAGCTTCAAAATGAGGAGTCTTATGCAATCTGGGCTGCAAATGACCTTGGATTTCAGGTAACTCACCATTAATGCATCAGCAAGGCATGATGCAGCCTCCTCTCCAAAACTGTTTCCTGTGAATGAAAAAGTATGTGAACAGTGTGCTGATCTCTTCCTTGGCATTGTGTTGGGGTGTGCAGGAAACTGCTTTTATGTGAAGCATTCAGTTAATCATGGTCCATATCAGACTTCGATATGTTAGCCTTTCCTCTACTTCAATCTATAGAAGAGAATTATCCCAAGATGTGGAAGACACCCAGCAATGATCTAAGTTTCTCATATGGGACTGGTTTGCAGAGGGGCTGGAGGCTTAGCAGGCTGAATACTTATTTTGATCATATCACTATAAATCTAGATTTCCACATTGCCACTTTGGGTTCTTGTAAGGGACATAACCAAGAAATTGTTTTTGCCCATGGTCTGACTAATGCTCTTGGGATGGGAGACTTGAATGAAACGTGGCATTTCACTTCCATTGCCATCACTGCTTGAGTGCATGCAGCCCACCTGAGAGCTGAAGAGTATGGAGATAGGATGCATTTTCCAAAAGCAAACTGGCAATGGCTTCAGCCCCTTCTGTGTCCAGGTGGTTATTGGAAATGTTCTGGAAGGAGACAAGGTAGGATAAAAAAAATGAGCCCAAATAATGGGTTAGCTTTATTGTGTCTTTAATACACAAGATCTTAACAGAAAAATGCAAGACCAGTAGTATGAGAAATCTTATCCAAGCAATAATTAATAAGAGCTATAGGTGTGTTTAATCCCATATCCTTCTTAGCAGAAACAAAGTTCTAGAGCCATTGGTTTCACATGGATCTTTGTCTTCAGTAAACCAAGAGGCATTTGGCTAAGAACATTTCTTCCCAATGCAACACAGATCCCATGGCCCTGTCAAAATGCATTTTTCATACCTCACTTTCAGATTGAAGGAACATTCCTAAGGATTTTAATCTGAAAGTTATGCATTACTCCCTTAATCTATTTAGAAAAGTTTCCTCATATCATATTGGAGAATAAAAGTTCCTGACCAAAACATTTTTCTGTTGGCTAAGCATGACCTAGAAAGACCTAGTTCTGGTAATTATTGTTACATCTGCTAATGAAAAGAACAGTTCCAGGCTCCCAGATCTTGGAAGCCTCGTGAGACTCGTCACATGCACATTTCTGCTTTTCAGAAGCTTGTACATTTTAAAACTAGATGAGCGTAAAATATAATGTCTTTCAGATATGAATATTTTTGCATGGGAGCAACTGTTATTTGGTTAAAACTTGGAATTGAATGAACTAGTTTTCTTTATTGAAATTCTTCAGATGATTGAACTTGGTAAGCAATACTTTTGGCTAAAAACTGCATCAGATTGGGTACCAGTTCTCGAAGAGAGCAATTCTCTCGTAACATCTCTGCTATGCATATGGCTCCTTCTGCCAGAATGTGGTTATCTTCCAGCTCTAAGTGGGTGACAGTTGCATTGGACTGCAAAGACACAAAGGTAAAAAGAGACACAGAAAAGACAGCTGGAAAGTTAGTGAAGTGGGTTGTTTCCTCAGTTAACAGATACTGGACATTTCCGCCAAACCTCAGTAGGCATTGCAGGTCCTAAACAGGACTGTAGGCAAGGGGCATGGCACAGTTATTGCAGCAAAGGCCAGTAGTTGCCACACAAGGCTTTCCTGTTCAGGAGATTAGAAATATAAGGAAGACTTGGAATTCCTATGGGTAATGTAGGACATTTTCTCTCACTCTGTGTATTCAGTGATGGCTTTCAATGAGAGGCCTAAAATGCCATTGACAAAAGTGGCCCCACTCTTACTAGGTACTCACCACTAGAGCAATAGCAATGGCTTTGACACCTTTGGGTCCTAGACCGTGGTGGTTCAAGTTTATATAAGGCTTGGCCAAGTTCTGAGCAAAGTGTGAGACAGGCACCACCTCCATCAGCCTGCATGCTTCCATGTACAGCTCTGCACCCATAACACCTGCAAAGGCTTTCCCAGGATCTGCAGAGAAAAAGTATATGAACGAGTGGTGCATTCTGTGTCTGCCATCTATCTTCTGAGGCTGTTTCTCCCAAGCACTCCACTCTCTCTGGGTCCAGAGGGTCACTTGAATAAGGCACAGCTGGCAAGCATGAGCTAATAATTCCCTAATATCCTAAAGCAATCACTCTGAATATAGATTTATTGACCTTTCTGTGTTAAGCACAGTAACATTTCTTCATGCTAGAATCACAGAATCACAGAATCACAGAATCACTAAGGTTGGAAAAGACCTATAAGATCATCCAGTCCAACCATCCACCTGTCACCAATGGTTCTCATTAAACCATATCCCTCAACACAACATCCAAACGTTCTTTGAACACCTCCAGGGTCGGTGACTCCACCACCTCCCTGGGCAGCCCATTCCAGTGCCTGACCACCCTTTCAGAGAAGTAGTATTTCCTAATATCCAGCCTGAATCTTCCCTGGCGAAGCTTGAAACCATTCCCTCTAGTCCTATCACCAGTTACACGAGAGAAGAGGCCGACCCCCAGCTCGCTACAACCTCCCTTCAGGTAGTTATAGAGAGCAATAAGGTCTCCCCTGAGCCTCCTCTTCTCCAGACTGAACAATCCCAGCTCCCTCAGCCGCCCCTCATAAGGCCTGTGCTCCAGACCCCTCACCAGCTTTGTTGCCCTTCTTTGAACACGCTCCATGTTGAGATGAGGAGCAGAAGAATTCTTGCCTCAGCATTTGTGGCAACATGGGAGATGGGGACAGCCTGCCAGTCGTCTGCAGAGAACTAAGCAGCCACCCCAACCAAGATCTCACTCTTTGCCTAAATGAACACCTCATTTTGTTTTGTCTTGATTCATGACTCAAACCAAACCATCAGCAAACTATGTCAGTTTCTTTGGCTCAGCCTCTGTGTTAAATCTTATACTGCTAATTACAGAGCTAAACTAAGTAACATAACACTATGCAACAACTGCAGAATATTACTTTTAAAAAGTTATCTTGTATCCAGAATTTTCCCCATACCTTTATACCAAACTTCTAAGAGTTAACTTAGAGTTGTTTAAAGAGTTGCTTTCTTTTCCATTTGGCATTTGGTGGTAAGCTGTAGCTTCTCATCAGTCTGCAATGTGACTAAATCTTTCTTGGTGTAATTGAGAATTTCTGACATCAGGCAAAAACATTTTCACCATTTTTTTTTCCTTTAAGTCTTAATTGAAGCATGCAGCTGATATTGCCAGCAGAGCAAGGGCAGCTCAGAACATTTTGGCTTTCAATCAGCAGAAAGAATCCCAGCATTCCCATCTTGGCCATCGGGTGTTGTTGACACAGCTGCAGTGAGAAATATCAGTGCAGCTGGCAGCTGTATTTCCACAGAAACCTGTCATTTGGAATTCCTTCATCAAAACCCCATACATAGAGCTCTTATTTCTCTATGCTGTTATACACATTCAGTGGTCTGACCTCAAGACAAACTCCCTTCCCATTTTTCCAGTTCAGTCTGAGGCCTCTCACAAAAGTCTTTTTTCTCTTGCATTCTTTTTTTTTTTTTTTTTTTAAATTTTCCTTCAATTTACAACATGTTAAAAAATGTTCATCCAAAATGATGGAAAAGTCCTACTGTGACACAAATGAGCATAAAACTTGTTTAGCCAGAGGACTGACTTCATTAGGCAGGAGTTAAGTGAAGAGCAAGCAGAAAAGGACAATCATGGCAAACCTATGGCATGCAGACAACAGCTGGTACGCAATATTTCATCAGTGTTTCACATGCGCTGGGCCTGATCCCCACCCCTGGCTTCTTCTAGGTGGTCTACTGCCCAGGCAGGCTGCTCTGCTAGTGTTGGTTATTAAGGACTAGAGGAGAAGGAACAGCCATTGTTTATTCTGTGCAGAGAGGAGCTGAAGGAAGATACTTGATGTCAAAGTGGGAGCTCCTAAAAGGCAATGAATCCCCCCTGCCTTTCTCAACTGCCAGATGTTGGTTCAGATGTCAGATGTGGATGTCAGGACCCTGATATGGTTGTGTTCTGTGGCCTTCATTTCTGACACATACATGTTGGTAGGTACAGCACTGACCGTAAGGGGAAAGGATAGTGAGGGGCAGATGGCAAGAAAGCATTCACCTTCAACATCAAGGTCAGTGTCAGAGCCTTGTGTGGCCTTCTCTGCTGAGGCATCAGACAGCGGAGACTCTGGAGGCTTACTGATATCTGACTTCTCTTCATTCTGATCTGCTATGAAACCAAGCATTCACATGTCAGTGCCAACCCAGCACTTTAAGACTCCTGGTATGTGACAGAACTTCCTACTGCTCTCACTGAAGTCTGCACCTCTCTTCAACATTCTGCAGATGTGCTCCTTCCCCAGCCCCACTTCATTCCAACCACTCCCTGTGTAGGGTACCCATGTGGTGCTAGCTCTGGCATGGGGATAGGCTCACATCAGGTCTTCATTCCCTAGTGAGCAGCCTTTCTCTCCTTCCCCTGTTTCTGAAACGACCAGACAACAGAAGATTTCCCTTCTCCATCCCACTTTCCCACAAACCTATAAAGTAAAGCCAGCTCCTTTTAGCTCTCCTGAACTGACTCAGACTTTCCCAGGCACTGGCAGGATACTATTGGCAGACTGCTATCAGACAGGGATTGCTTTGTAGTACTCTTCATGCAAAGCAGAAAAGGAATTTTTGAATGTTATTGTATGTTAGGATTGAGTGTAACCAGACTCGATAGAAGTAGCACAGCTTCTCTTTCTTACAGTTCATAATTTATTTTACTGTGAGAGAAAAGGAGAATTTGGAAAATTCTTCTTTAAGACAAAAAAATGCACACCAGAATCATCAAAAGTGATTTTTCCAAAATATTTTTTGGAGAATAACTACACTTTTTTTCCTACTGTTTCTTGTCATCCCTTGACACTGCTTTTACTACCTTCTTCCCTTAATCCTTATTTCTCTTCAGTGTTCCAGGCTACTCTGGGTGTCACTTAGCACTGATGTTTCATGAAGCTTGCAGTCTGACTGTTCACTCAGATCTGTGTGAGGGAAAGACTGGACATCTGGCACCCACATCACAGCATTTCAACCATCCCTGCAGCTCCTCCATTAAGATATTTTCCTTCTGCCAGACTTTGTTCAAATTATGGTTTTACTTGTATTTTACCACAAGAAAGACAAAAGAAAGGGTAAAAACAGGTTTAAATCCCGTGTAAAGAACTCATGAGACAAAAAGACCCAGATTTGGAATACTGTAATAATATCCCCAGATCCTCTTTGCTTAATGACCCTACAGCGCTAGTCATCCTGATAAAAAACTTCCCACCCTAGGGATCAGACAGACCTTTGTGTGCTATACAGAATCCATCCAGGATTTATCACCTTCTGATAATATAACTGTTGTGTACCCACTATCAGCCAACCCTGCACTACATGATCTGAGCCTTCTAAGGTAGATCCAGATGTGGTCCTTAGCATCCCTGTGGAACTGTATAAGTTAGCGCTGATTCAGATGTTTATCTTGTTAAGATGTTATTCAAGCAGAAATGTAAAAGGTATTGAATCATGATCATCATAAAATTGTTTGAGTTGGAAGGAACCTTATATATCATATGGTTCCAACTCCTATGCCATGGGCAGGGACATATTCCAGTAGATCAGATTGTACGAAGTCCCAGCCTGGTTTTGAACACTTCCAAGAATCATAGCATCATAGAATTGCTCAGGTGGGAAAAGATCTTAAAGATCATCAAATCCAACCACAACCTGACCATACTACCCTAACTCTAACACAACCCTCTGCTAAATCATTTCCATGAGCACCACATCCAGTTTTTAAACACATTCAGGGATGGTGACTCAACCACTCCCCTGGGGAGCCTATTCCAATGCTTAACCACCCTTTCTGTGAAGAAGTTTTTCCTGATATCCAACCTAAACTTACCCTGGTGCAACTTGAGGCCATTTCCCCTCATCCTGTCACCAGTGAGAAGAGACCAGTCCCGCTCTCACTGTAAGCACCCTTCAGGTATTTGAAGATAAGGGCATCCCGGGATACAATCTGCTTTCTGGACAACCTGTTCCAGGGTCTCATCCTTCTTATAGCAAAGAATTTAACCTAAATTTACCCTCTTTTCCTTTAAACAGTTATCCCTTCTCCTATCACTATAGTCCCTGATAAAGAGTCCTTCTCCAGCTTTCCTGTAGGCTCCCTATGTTGAGGAGCCCAGATCTGAATGTAGCAATCCAGGGGGGTCTCACAAGAGAGAGATCATTGTCAAAACCAATGCAGTGAAGAGTGAGGAGTCTGGAGATTCTTTTCTCTCTCACTTTTTTTGAGGCTTTGGGACTGCAGGCACAGCTTTCTGGTCAGCCTTCTTCAGGCACAGATTCTACCAACCATGAACTTGGAGGGGAGTTCATACCATGGTTTGATGGGAGACTTACAATGGATGTATTGAGACAATGGCAAAACCCTCCTCATGCTAGGCTGACAGTGCCTGTTCTCTGGACTCTACACTGTTCTCTCTGTTGTGTTTTATAAGCCTTTGGTATACTACACTAGCAATTTATACTGGGATGGTAAAGAAGAGGAAATTTTCTTCTCTTTTGCCTAGCATTACAAAATGCTAGGCATACCACTACTAAACTAATGAAGTCATCTTTCTTAGAATCACTGCTTATAGTGGTTCAACTTCAGGTAAGACAAAAATTTTAATAAATCACTCTCCTTCTCTTATATGATGTAATCTGATTTGTATATGCTAAGGAATTTCAAGTGTGAAAGGAAACCGTCAAGGTCATCCTCACTTCTACATTCCTTGTACCATACCTTAAAAATAATTCAGGCGAACAGCCAGGTCCCATCCTACTATAACTAAGATCAAACTAGAGTAGAATTTAATGAGAGAAAAGTTATGTTAGGCTACAAAATAAGCCCAAAATACTACAAACAGGCTACTTAGCAGAGTGCAGACCCAGCACCAGTCTGCCTCTCAAAGCCAACCCACCTTTCCTAGCAAGGGGGGGCTAAAATAGGACCTCATTTTACACAGTGCTAAGCTACTAGATCCTCCATGGTGAATGGAGGGGTGTTGGATATAATTGCCAGGAGGTACAATTGCTGGTACTGGTCAGCTGGTATTTTTTTTTCCAAGCAAGGTGCTGATCTGATTTATCACCAGCCTTCTGGCAGCAGCCATCTCAGGCCATCAGCAGCCTGGGTCCCCTGACACCCCATTTCTTGACAGTAGCATATCTATGCAGCCCAGGTCACAGAAGGGAAGCCTTTCACTTGTCTACAGCCACTGTAGTCCCTGTATTCCCTGTTGAACCCTGCTGATTTGCCTATTTCTGACTATTTGTAGATAACTAAGCACAGCACCTGTGTCCTTCTCAGAGTCTTTGTCCATGGCTGTTTTCTTGTCACTACCAATGAGCTGCAGGTTTATTTGCTTTTTCTCTTCCCTTAGTGAGAAGTTTACAGCCACCTTTTAGGCCCCACCATTTCCTCTAATTCATTTGTACAAAGCACAGCTGTTCAGCTGCAATTTAAAAGCCTCCAAGAGGAACGGTGCTATTTATAAGGTTGATGTTCTTGATTCATACTTCTTATAAACAGGAGAACCCTGTTTTGTTTTTGTAGAGGCTGGCTAAATGTTACAAGAGCCCTATATTGTCCTCAGCACCCTTACCCCTCTGTTCTGTCTACTTGGCCATTCTGTGACCTCACTTCCACGCCCAAATTCTGTGTTCCATGTTTCTCAGGAAACCAGGGCTGTTTGGTCTCTGATGGTGTCAGCACCCAAGGACAGGATCAGATGATGTTTTGGCTGTGAGAACCCCCAGGAATATCAGAAGGTGATGCCAGATCTCTGGTGAGTGTTCTCTTTCCTTCTGGGTTGATCCTGCAGGTTGTACAGCTTTGTATGAGAAAGGCAGACTGCAGCATTTGCAGTCAGAAAGGAGCTTAGAAAGAAATGAGTGCATTAGCCTTATTAGTCTTCAACAGATTCAAACTTCTCTACTGCCTATTTGCCTGTGTGTTTCTCAGTAACATGTGGTTTGTGAACATACCAGCATTTAATGGGGCCTCAAATCAAGTATTCATTTGTCTGGGCAAGTAATGGTGGTGCCAAATTTGGCTCAACACTTATTATTTTATGCAATTTATGCTGAGGACTCCAAAACCTTTCCTAAGGGGATAAAACCAAAGCTGTAACACAAAAGAATTTCTGATGGAGGCTGAGCAGAACTTATGCATACACTTGGAAATCTTTGAAGTTTATTTAAACTACGCTATGTATGAAGACGGCTCGGAAAATAATGCCTCCTATTTTATTATGTTGGCCCACAACACCAGAGGCAGCTGTTGGTGGTATGGCAGTAGAGGCTGAACCTTCCCACCAATTTTCTGTTATATATATATATATATATATATATATTTTTTTTTTTTTTCCCATAGGTTCTACATAAACCTCCCAGCTAGTCCACTCATTAGAGGCCACAGCAGGGTTTCATTTGGCTATAAAACAAAATATGATGCATAAACCAGTGGAAGGTTTGACCCCAAAGCAGACCTCTGTCAGCTTTGATTCTGTTGCCAAAGTTTGTAAATATTTTTCTCTAGCATAGGCCAAACAACAGTGGCAGTCCAGATCCTTGCTTGTCTGTGGTTCTGGCCAATATTCTTCTCTATTCCAGTCTGCTTATCCTGATGTGGGCTGGGCCTGAAGATACTTTTTGAACTCGCAAAGAACAGCTTTGTTTTAAATTCCCTGGCAACTAGCCCTTGCTGTCACAAACCCTTCTTCTGGAGAACATCCTCTGTTTTAGGCAGACACCAATGATGGTTTGCCTACTGCAGCGGGATATGGGAGACTGCAGACAACTGCTGTACTTTGCCAGAGACATATGCAGTTCTGGCACAGAGGTTACTCAGTGACACATACATAGTAACATCAGCTCAGGTCCTAGCCATGGACACCTGTTGTGCTTATCTCAATAAACTAGACACTGCACACCTCTTGAAAAGAGTCTAAGGACTCAAGAGTACAGGTCTTATGAGGAGCAGCTGAGGGAACTGGGATTGTTCATTCTGGAGAAGAGAAGGCTCAGGGGAAATCTTATCACTCTCTACAACTACCTGAAAGAAGCCCAGGTTACAGTGATAGGACAAGTGAGAAATGGCCACAAGTTGTGCCAGGGGAGATTCAGGTTGGTTATTAGGAAAAAATTTCTTTTCCAAAAGAGTGGTGATGCACTGGAACAGACTGCCCAGGAGGTGGTGGAGTCACTGTCCCTGGAGGTGTTCAAGAACAGCGTAGATGTGGTGCTGAGTGACACGGTTTAGTGGGCATGGTGGTGGTGTGCTGATGGCTGGATTAAATTATCTTAGCGATCTTTTTCAATCTTAATGATTCTATGATAACCTAAAACAACAGCTAGGGCCCATCCAAGGCACAGCCTGGTTGGTGCAGGGTCAGGGACAGCATGAATCTTGTCGACCTAATTGCAAGAGCCCATCTTTAAGGGAGTTTGGAAGAGGGTTACTGAGATCACCCTCCAGAGCTGTGCTGGGTGTCTTTTCCAAGTGGGACGAGAAACACCCAAGGTAGCACAAAGCATTATTCTGGAAATATGAGAAGCTTTTAACTTGAAGCAGAAACCAACCTCTAATAAGTGAGAGGCAATAACCAGTACGGGTATAGGATCAAAATGCTCCCTACCAGATGACAAGGGTGATTTTAATGGACATTGCACTTCAGTTGAGTTCGATTTGCCAATTTTGTATATTACTGGGATACATTAAAAATATGTAATTGTCGTAAAGAGCTGCAGTGGTGCTCAGTTCAATTTTTACCTTGTGCACAGCCAAATGCAGAATAAAACAGAATATTAAAAATGTAGCTCAAGCGGGACTTTTTCCCTGAAACTGTCTGGTTTGAGCATGGCAGGCCTCGGCTTCGCATGGCCACAAGGTGCTCGCAGTGTGCTCGCAGCTGATCACATGGAGCGGTTTTGCAGAGCTGTGACAGGCTGCAAACCACAGAAGGAGAACACGGCCGTGTGCCGGTGCTTCGACCTGCTGCCAACGGGGTTTGTCCGCGCAGCCTGTTCTCTGCGAGATGTTGACTAATGTGGGTACAGGTTTGCGAGACACGTAGTGAACTGTAATTACGAACCGCCTGGGACCAAAAGGGACTTTATCTGGTGCTCTTCCAGGGGATTGCAACTTCTGTAGGCTTCTGTAGGAGAACAGAGCGCAAACTTTCATTTGAAAGCGCCCCTTCCAGGCTGCGGACCGAGCCGGCGGCCCAGCGTCAGCGCCGTCACCCGGCCCCGGTCGCGGCCCCACCCCGGCCGGCCATTCCCACACGCCCGCCCCGACCTGCCGCGGCCGGCCCGGCGCACGGCGAGGCCCGTGCCCGAGACGGCCGGACGAGGGGACGGCCGCGGCGCGGTGAGTGCCTGCGCGGAGCCGGGGCTCGGGCCGTCAGCCCGTTGCTGAGGCGAGGCGGGGCCGGGCCGGCGCGTCGCCTAGCTGGGGCCGGGCCGGCGGAGGAGGTCGGGCCGCGCCGCGCAGCGCGCTATGATCGGCACCGTGCTCTGCTACGTGCTGCTGCCGGCGGTGCGGCTCCTCCGGGCCCTGCGAGGTAACCCGGCCCCGGGCGGGCGGCGGCGGCGGGGCCGGGAAGCGGCCGGGGGGGCGCGCGGGGCCCGGCTTTCCTTCCGCCGCGCTCCGGACGCGGCGGCGTTGCCTCCCGCAAGGCGCCGCCCTGGGGCCGGGCCGCGGGGGCCTCGGCGGCCTCCGCTCCCCGGGGAGGCCCTGCGGGTCCTTCCCGGCTCTGCCGCCCGGGTGCGGGGACGGCGCCCCGTGCTGCCCGGAGTCGCTCCCGGGGGTGGCGCGGCCCTTTCTGCTCGCTCGGCGCGACGCGCCGCGTGTGCGGCTCCGTGCGGTTGGGTTTGGAGGCAGGCGGTTTGGAGGCAGGTCCCGACCCTCGCTCCGAAATCGCGGATTTTGTTCCTGGAGGCGCTGAGCCGCTCTGCGGGGCCCGGGGAGACCAGGCCAGCTGTGAGGCCTGGTAGCCCTGAAGCACCTTCAGTTGGGTCTGTGCAGGTTTCACCTGGTTTCCCCGACCCAGCTGTGGCTTCGCAGGCCCTGGTGCTGTGCTCGTGTAGAGCCGTCCTGCCCGAACCGGTTCTCCCGTCTGTGGCAGCCATTGCTGCAGGCTGATCACAGCGACCGGCTGGCTGGCCCGACGTTCAGCTCTTGCCTTAGAAGCTTCTATGATAGCCGTGTCTGTAACGATGTGTGGAAGTAAAGTGCTGGTATTTGCGACAAACGTGAGCTTCGTTGCAAATGTACAGAGGGGGCTTGTGGGTCTCAGTGCTACATTTCTGACGCACGCAAAAAGCTTTGACACAGAAGATACCAGCAGAACGAGCCTATGGTTATTGCTGACCTTTGTGTGTTACTGCTATGGGTGACTGACTGTTGCAGGGCTACAGCAGGAAAAAGGGGATTTGTAGACAACAGAAATCCCTACTTAACAGCAGAGACTGGTATCTGTGTATGGCTTATAGCAAAAGATCAATACTGTCATCTCTGATGTCAATAGAAGTAGGAAGAGTTCTGTCATTTTCTGCTTTACATCACCAGTATTCAAAAGTGTTATGTGAACAGCAGATTATGTACACACACATATTTATCACAGATAGCGGTCACCAGGTGGCCATTAATTCTTATCAAGAGTTCTTCTGTGCATATATTCTCTTTAATAAGGCTATTAATTGCTCATATCTGTCCCCCTGCTTCTTTATTTTTCATCTCTAATTACAGAACAGTTTTTCTAGCACATTTGTTGCGACATTTAACCATTTTTAATCATCTTATCTGAATAGTACATTTTACCAAATGTCTGTAAAGAAACTTGTTCCAAGTCATCATCTTCAAAGCTTGGCTCCTTAACCCATGCACCCCATCAGTTAACTTGTACAGATGTGTAGTTGAGAACAGATGCAACTGCTGCAGCACCTTTCATCTTGGCTTGACTGGCTGTGGTGCTGCCTGAGCGAGAATTGCACTTACTTGAGTTGATAAAGCCATTGTTGTGCTGCACAGTTTCAGTGACTTTGACTAAAAGCTAGCTATGGACTGTGATCTAACATTAAGAGGCAGGGTAAGTTACTCAGATTGTAACTGTTTCTATTTGTTTGGGTTGCTACACTGAATGGTTATATACAACAGCAAATTCACTGGAGGAAAAAAAAGTGAATGGGAAAGCATATTCATCTGTTTTATGTTTGGCGTTTTTTTGGTTTTTTAAATGGCAGATGCTTTCTTTACCTGTCGAAAGAATGTGCTTCTGGCGAAGAGCACGTCCACCCAGATAGAAGGCATCTTTGCTGCAACCAGAGGAAAGTTGGTCCAAGAAGAGCAAGAAGCCCTGCTCCAGCAGTGGCTGGAGGAAGGAGCAGGGAGTTCATCAGCCAGTGAGAGTGCTCCAGTAGTGGGAAACGTATCGGCTGCATCCACCAGCACCTGGTTAGAAGGTTCAGAGCTATTGATGAGTAGCCTTAGCGACCTGAATTCAGCTCCAGAAGTCGTATGGTGTGCCAGTCAGCAGCTCACGGAGCTATGTGCCTTGACTTCTTCAGAACCGCAAGATCATGCAGAGACTAAACTGGAAAAATTACCAGCAGAGGAAACAGTGGCTGTAGTAGGCAGTGCACCTTGGGCAGCTCTGGTGCCACAAACAGATCACCAGATAGCTGGCTGTGCCACTATCAGTGTGGAAGGGCTGAATGAAGACCCAGCGGTGTTGGCGTGGAGTTTAGCAGGTGGCACAGAGATGGTGCCAACAGAGCCCCCCGCTTGGCCCGCTCAGGATGCCGTGCAATTTTGTCCTCTCCCAGCGGAAGTACCCTACCATGGTCAGTGTCAACAGCTCTGAATCTAATGTTAGGAATTTGTATTGTAGAGAACCTGGTTAGGTTTTTGTTTCTGGTTGAAGGGAGTAGATCTGGGCTTGCTGTATCAGGCCATACAGAACTGACAAGATCTGCTAGCGAAAGCTATGAAGTCAGGTTTTGCCTAGGACAAGTTGATCACAGCTAAAAGTGTCTGTGCTAGTGGGCTGTCTGAATATTGATACATTACTTCCCAGGAGTTGTGCCTGAGAAGTACAGAAAGCACCCAAAAGCTTGTTGAGTTTTTCTGTATGCTCAACTCTGGTCTTCTGTTATCTCATTCTCAGTGGCAACTAACCAAAGGAGTCCAAATAAAGCATCCGAAACCCAGAGTGGGTGAGAGGTAGGTTAGAGATTTAATTACCCGAGCTTAGGGAATGACATTGATATTCTGTGTCCCAGAGGAACAAAAAAATCTGGAGGGTACCCAGAATGGCTGTAATTTGGCTTTGTCTTTTTTTTCTTTTTTTTTTCCCCTTTTATTTATAGAGATTTTATGGAGAGACTGGGAGGATCTTTCTGTCCAGCCTTGTGAGCTAGAACTGGGCTCAAAAAAAAATCCTCTCTTTGAATTTCGTGTCATGTCTTACAACATCCTTGCCCAGGACCTGGTGGAACAGGGCCATGCTCTTTACGTACACTGTCATCCAGACATCCTGAACTGGGACTACCGCCTTCCAAATATTTTGCAGGAGATCCAACATTGGGATCCTGATGTGAGTATGACTTAACCCTCTTACATGTTAGTATCACCAGAATTTGAATTTTTTGTTTGATCTAATTGCATTGTGGCAATTTTTTTTCCTTTTCTTTAAGGGTGAGGAAAGTAGTAGGAAGATGGTATCTACTTGGTAGCTGAATGCTGATTCCTCTGAGCCTATTTGAGGCCTTGTGTGTACAATTTTTTGCTGCCTATCTTGTTTTGACTGTGTTTTTGATGCATTTAGCAATACTTAGATAACAGAGGTTAACTTCATAAGCAGCAGAAGTGGAGGAAGAAGAGTAATGTATTTTGGGGGAAGGGCTAGGTTTATAAGGCAGTACAGGAGAGGAGGCTCGCATAAAAGAGGACATCACAACTTTCTCTGTGAGCCCTCTTTGCATGATGAAGGAATTTTTGCCTTGTCACTGATAAACTAATGTGACCCAGAAAGTTATCACTCTCTAGATGGGAATTACAGGACAGAGTTGCAATTGTGGCCTTTCTACTGCAGGGTTAGTATGCGAGTATACTTTTGCACTTTCTTCCTTCCCTAAAACAAGGTAACTGGCAAATACTGTTGGAGCGAGTGAGGTCTCTGACTTCCTTCCAGGTTCTGTGTCTGCAGGAGGTGCAAGAGAACCATTACAGGGAGCAGCTAGAACCGACGTTTGTGAAGATGGGTATGTCCTGCTTTTGTTTGTCTGTATGCCCAGCTCCTGGGCCTGGCTGAGCAGTGCTTCCCATTTAATGTGTTCAAAGCATTCAGTCTCAAAAGAACTCTTCTTCCTTTTTATTTGAGCTGCTGGCCTTACTTCTGAACTATTTGCCTGGACCTTTACCATTTCATTTGTAGCTGACTTTTCAATTTGAGAGAAAAGACATGATTATAAATTATAGATGGTGATTACTGAGACAGAATTGGGTATAATTCTGCACCCAGTTATTCTAATATACAGTTACAATGCTCTAGTAGTAACTGTATATAACTAGGTGTAACTGTATGGTAGAAAGCATTGCAGCTGAAGGAAGGAGGGTTGGAGTTCACGCTTCCCAAGCAGTGAGTCTTCTCTTATGTGCCCCAGCATTGCTTATTGCTAGAGGGAGCTGAGGCTTAGAGGAATGCTGATAGAGGATGTAAAATGCTATGTTACTAAGCAACCAGTGCTTTACAAGTAGAGTTGCTTACTGGCAGATGGTGGCTGATTTTTTTCTGTAGTTAGAGCCTAGACCTATTGTAGAAACCAAGCTGAAAATTAACACAATTGGAATGCATAGAGGTTGGAGAAATAATCCTTCTGGGCAGGCTACTGGATTGAATTGTGTTCTTCCAAATCATAGCGGGTACCTCTTCTACAAGTCTGCTATACTAACTTGCTGAACTCGAATGGAATGAGAGCTTGAGGAAGCAACCAGATTAGCTTTTTAATGGGTGATGATTTCTCTTCAGGCTTTGCTTGCTTCTATAAACGGAGGACTGGGAGAAAGACTGATGGCTGCGCAGTGTGCTATAAGCAAAGCAGATTCCAGCTAATCACCGTCAGCCCCATCGAGTATTTCCGGCCTGGCATAGATGTCCTCAATCGGGATAATGTGGGTTTGGTGCTTCTGCTGCAGCCCCTGCTCCCAGAGGGTCTTGATCTGAAGGCAGTCAGTCCTTTGTGCGTTGCCAACACACACTTGTTGTTCAATCCCCGGCGGGGAGATATTAAACTTGCCCAGATGGCCTTGCTCCTAGCAGAGATTGACAAGATTGCAAAAACTGCTGAAGGTCAGTACTATCCTGTCATCCTGTGTGGCGACCTGAACTCTGTACCTGACTCTCCGCTGTACAAATTCATCCGGAATGGTCAACTTTCCTACCAGGGAATGCCAGCCTGGAAGGTAGGTGCCAGGCAAAACTGGGATTGGGTGGCTCTTTACTGCATGCTGCTGGAGAAAAGCATGGCTGTATTCTTCCTCTTACAAGAAAGAGTCCCAGTATTAAACTTAATTATTCAGGACTCATCCCCAGTGCCTCCAGCAGTGCTGAGGAAAGAAGCAGATGAATGTGTGTGTGTGTTGCTTCCAACACTGCTTTTTTTGTTTCTTTTGAGCCAGACCAATTATAAGTTACTTCATTTCACATCCTGGTTTTCCCTTGCTGTGGGATTTTTGTTGCTGGGTGACTGGAAGTGTAGGGGAGCACAAATCCACCAAGGCAACCTGAAATTTTTGTAGGTGTTTGATGTGAAACCAGTTTTGCCCATGAAATGGTTACCTATGCTGAACTCTTCAAGTGGCTACCTGTTAATTTATATCCATGCTTAGATATGTCTTTGGCTTTCATGCAAAATTATCAATTCAATAACACATGTCCACAAAGTATGTTCTATATGGTGACTTCTAGTTAACTGAATCCATGCCCCACTGTGCTGCCTCTGTGAGGGCACTTTCCTCTTTTGCTCTTGATGAGTGTGTATATATACATTGTCTATAGCTTGCAGAAGTTCTGCTGTGTGTTGCTGATGTTTGCCTCTCCTGATTCTTGCCTCCTTGCAGGTGTCTGGTCAGGAAGACCTCTCCCAACAGCTGCATTCTCGGAAACTGCTGTCCCCGCTGTGGCCAAGCTCACTGGGTGTAACAGACAACTGCCAATATGTTACTGTGTGCCAGCCAAAGAAACAGGGTGAGCTCTGGTGTGTGCTGAGTATATGAGCTTGCTATGGATTGAGAGTCTGTGGGCCTTGCTGTCTCCCAGAGTAGCCAATGCATGTGTTATATGAGGCAGTCAGCAACAAATTCTATTCTTCTGTGCTTTTCCTTGGTATTTGAATTAAATTTAGTTTTTCTGGAGTCCGTCACTGTAGCCCAGTATCTGCAATTGTATTTCTCTAGCCTATAGCTGAGAATTCCAAGTAACCATTGCTCCACATATCTTTTACATTCTCAGGCTTGAGCTTTTGTGCGGTTGTAACTGATGTTCAGCATCCATAGCTTTCAACTGCAGGTGTTTGTAAGAGCAATTTTGGGTAGTGATTGCATGCCAGTATTAGAAAATGCCAAGAGTCCACTTAAGAACAGTAATTGTTCTCTAAAGTGGATTCTAAAAAAGGAGGCCACACTAAGTAGTTTTTGTTGGAAGTCTGAATATAAAATTTGTATTCAACCTGACTTGCAGAACTGTTCTTTCTTTTTAGGCAGACTTGAGTTTCCTTGAGTTGCGAGCTTGCTGATCTGCTTAAAAATCCCTTGAACTTACAGTGCTTCAGAGGGAACATTCTTAATTTGTCTCATCAAGGTGCTGACCATGATGGATGCATTGGCTAAAGGAATAGAACAGAGTATAGTTACTGCTATGTTTAGGTTATTAAGTGATTCCTGTTCACATGGTGTAAGGGTGTGCTTGGTATGAAACTTGCTGTAAATGTGACTTTGCTGCAGATATTTTATTTTCTTAAATTGTATTTCTGTCTGCAGGCAGACGTAAGTACAGTCGAGACTTCCTGCTCCAGTTCCACTTTTGTGATGTTGCCTGTGAACGACCACCAGAGCTGGTCTTCTTGGAAGGTGTGACAGATGCTAAACCAGGTATTAATGGGGTAGTTTTTCAGCTCACAACTCTCCTAGCTGTATAGTGATGAAAAACTGTTGGAGGTAACACCTGGTACAAAAAGGGGAAGACAGGAAAATAGCATTCTGTGGCTGTATGATTATTAATTGACTCCATGAGAGGTTAGAGTATAGTCTTACTGCAGCACTGACAGTGTTTCTTGAGGTACCCTGGGTTTCAGACTCCTCTGGAGGCTGCATCTATGTACATCTGTCTGGAATCTCTCTACTCCTTTGCAGACCCCCCTCCATACTGGCCCAAGAACACTGCTCCAGTGAATGACCCTGATCTCCAGATGCTCATCCCAAGGTAATTTGATGCACCTTCTGTGGCCCCAGTGTTTCACTTTCTGCAGGACTGAAAATCTGTTTGAAGTAAAGACTGAAATAATTGTGAGGGTCCACTCAGATCCCAGCAACTAGGTGATATTCTGGTACCATTGGGTTGATGAGCTCAAGAATGAAAGGAGTAGACAGGACTGGGTATTGGATATGAGGTATGCTCATGTCTGCTTTGTGCAGGAGGAGTAAACAATTCCGACTGTCTTTCTGTGTACGTGTTTGCAAACTCAGAGATAGTTTGGAGACTTGTATCAGTAAGGGAACTTCCAACTTTACCCATGACATCAGCATGGGAACTTCCAACTTCATCTGTACTGCAGCACTGAACACTGCATCATCCTGTTTCCTTTCTTGGTAAATTCTGGCTGTTCACTTGCAGGTCTGCAGGTGTTATCCAGCACGGCCTCAACCTGACCTCTGTCTACAGCCATTTCCTGCCACAGAGGGGTCGCCTGGAGGTCACAACCATGCCCATGGGGCTTGGTGCCACTGTTGATTATATCTTCTACTCAGCAGAGCCTGTGATGAATGGAAACAGAGGGGGTGAGTGTGCCAGTGCATGGGTTGTCCCTGTGGTGTTGGAAAGAGCTGTGAGGTGTAACATAGTTCAGCTCTATGCTGGACAGAGCATTTTGTTAATCTGGGGTAGATCTACAGGGTGTAACTTCGACTGATGTGCAAAGTAGAAGCAACATGTGCTCATATATCTTGAGAAGACAGTGTTTGTCTTCCTTGTGGAAAAACTGAAGCTGATCAGGTAAGATTCATGTAGACTTCCGAGAAAGCCAGAGCAGAATACATTCTTCTTCCTTTGTTTAATTATTTGTGCTCCTGCTAATAAGCAGTGCTGAGTCCAAGTCCTTAGTTCAAGCCTTGGACTTCAGATCTGACTGAGATCTCCTTTGAAGGAGGTGACTCTTGTTAAAATGACAGCACATCTCTACTACCTGGAATAGGAGTTAGGCTGATGGAAGACTGCATGTAAATGCATCCAGGAATTGCCTTGGAACTGGTTTTGGATCATGTCAGGATCAGTCCTGGGGAGGAGGTTAGAAACAAAGAGAATTCATTCCTGCTCAATGGGGAATTTGAAACTATCTTCAGGACTTATGGGAAGTTCCTTTCATTCCACTGTAAACAACTACCTTGTGAATTTAGCATATACTGGATTTTTTGTGCCTGCAAGCATATGAAACCATTAAACTGCAGCATTATAGGATGCTCACTGCTTTCATATCCAGGCTCAAAAGTGCATTCAGTGTTTGTGCAGGTTGTCTTTCTTCATCAAGGAAAGGATTGGAAACCACTGACAAGCATCCTTGTGCAAGTCTGTAGAGATAATCTGCAGCATCATTCTACAGCTGCTGTTTCCCTCCACTTTATCAGGTCGCAGGCTGTACCGAGATGGAGTCCTAAAGCTGCTTGGCCGCCTTTCTCTTCTCTCTGAAGACATCCTGTTGCTGGCAAATGGCTTACCAAATCCGTTTTGTTCATCTGATCATCTGTGCCTGCTGGCTAGTTTTGGCTTGGAGATCTCCAGCCTCGGAGAGGGTTAGTGTTGGTTCCCCTTTGCCTAAAGAAAATATATTCTGAATATAGCTGTTTGAGACTCTGGATTTACAACCAGCTTGCAAGAAAACTCTTTTATTTGACATACCCGAATAGTCCCTTTCTGCTCTCACGCCCTCACAAAAATAGGGATGAGTCAGTTGGAGCCCTGTCTGTTGGTATTTTGTGGGTCTCTGCAAATCTGTGTTTCTGCACAGTTGTGTTCAGGCATTATCATCTCCTAAAGGGATCCTTGTTCCACAGCTTAATTTAGCAGATATTTTAGTGCTGCAGGAACCAACCTTGCTCCCATGTTTGTCCCTTGGTAAGGTCTTCAAGGACCTGGGAAATACAGATGGATTACTGTCTGCTTCTGGCTACCAAAGAGCAGGGCATATGTACACCAATATTCTTTCACACCAAAACAATGTTTCTTTTAATTTCTGAATGATAGGTTATGAAGCATGGTCTTTAGGAATGTGCTGCTTTTGAGAGTGGATCTGCTAACTGCTTAGAAATAGGTTTTTCTTAATAATGGTAAGGGCTGTATTGCTGGCAGAAGAGCTTGTATAGTTGATTGGTTTCAATAAGATCATCCCAGTGAATATCAGGTGAAGAAAATTGTCGGGTTAGGCATGACAACTCCAGAGGCAGTATCTCTGGAGGCTCTCAAAAGAGAGATAAAAATTGAAAATGTGTTAGTGGAAGCAGAAACATCAAATGAGACAGTTGAAGGTAGTGTAAATGCCTCTACCCTTCCTCTGTGTCTTCTCAATTCCGTTTTACCTCTCAGGGGACAGAGAGCCGACTGGTAGCAGCCTGCTGGGCCAGGCTATGGGCTTTCTGGAGCTAGCCATGCTTAGGTAGGTAGGACCCATTGGACTGGCTCTTGTCTCTGAACAGATGCGGGGAGGGAGGGAGAGGCTGTTTTCTTGGAGGCAGGATTGTCAGTCTGTTGGTGTCATCTTAGTGTAGTTTTCTCAGCTTGTACAGTACAAAAAAACCCAACACTGTACCTGGTCCTGAGGCAGATTACCTTGTTTAGGCTGATTTATGGTGCTCAGTTTTGCTATGAGAGAGGAAAGCAATATGGGACAAACATTTCTAACCTTCTGTTCACAAATGAGGCACAGAAGTCTTGTCCTGCCTCAGGATTTTTGAGAGGGTATGAAAAGACTTGAAATATCATTTGCTCTTTCTGTGTTATACTGGGGGATTTTCGTATTTTAAATGTTACTTTCTTTATTGAAAAATAAATTTTTTCTAATTTAATGAAAAATGCAAAGTAACTGCAACACCTTGTGCTTCTGGCAGCTGAACCCTTAGAGGAGTTGCTCAGCAAGGCTTTGCTAGCTAGGATGTGAAAGAGGAGAATGTGGATTAGCTATGCAAAATAGAAGTAGTGAAGGATAAAGGGCAGGGGTAAGTGTGTCTAGCTGTTGTCTCCCATCATATCCTCACATCCCAGAGGTCTGTTTGGCATCAGAGTTTATCTTGCAGAATGGTTTCAGGAACCATCCCCCTCTTTCCAAGAAAGCAAATACCGTTGATCCTTTACAGCTTATTTCTGTGAACTGTACTAAAGACATGGGCCACGCACTCTGTTCTGTTCCCATAGAATTCTTAAGAACTGTGCATCCCCTTCTTGCCCCTGCTGCGTGATTTGTATTTGCCTGGTGATGTGTGGATAGCTTTTGCTACCCCAGCTTGGATACTACGTGTAAGAGTCTGCATAAGTGAACAGGAATCTGGAGGTAAACAAGTCTGCAGCTTTGTTCACCCAGAATTTCAGTTAATGGTTCTGCTATGGTGCTGGTGTTTGTAATTGGTGAGGGATGCTGAGCTGTGTATTTCTGTGGATGTTTTTTCTGAGGGTTGCTTTAATTTCTTCAAGTACTCTAACTCTGATTTTATAATTGGTTTTATTTGTGCAGGGGGGAAAGAAGACAGAAATCTGTGCAACTGAGAGCTTTATTTTTCTGCCAGGCTGCTTGTAGGTTGCCAGATAGCAGTGTGGTTGCAGATAACTCCCACCAGCTGTTAACCTTGTAAAGGAAAACTTGAGACATTGAATGTTTAAAAACAACTGACCAAAAGCAAAACAAAAAACACTGTGACAGGTAGGGCTGTCACTTAACACTGTGACTGTTTGCTTTGGTCATAACTGGCCCAGTCTGATAGCCTGTTAGTGATGGGTGTGTGTGTGTGTGTGTGTGTCAGTCAAAGTCCTCCTGACCCTCTGCTGCTTTCCACTCAGACCCACGAGCTGTGCATGGTTCCCTGTCAGGTGAGCTGGTTGCCCAAGCACCTTGACACTTCTGTGATGTAGCTGAGCGTCAACATCACAAATACTTCTGTTTCATTCAAACCAAAGACTTGACTTTTCTTTTGGGTAACTTGCATGGACACATCTCTCAGGGAGGTTTTAAGTTCCAGCTGTTTTGCTGGAAAATCGATTTCACAGGTCGGTCTAACACTTTGTTTTTCAGTATATGTGAAATTGTATGGTATGGACTTGGAATACTTAATTTACTAAACACTCTGGATATGGAGTCAAGTGCTTAGAAACCCTGGGACGATGCCCACAAATCTTCTCCTGCTTCTCTCTGAAGGTTTGAAGGCTACCCGCGTCCTGCAGCTCGCAAAGCCTTGGCTCACACATTTTCTTGGGCATTCATAGATTAAACTGTTTCAGAAATACAGCTCTAATAGTTGATCGTTGTGGTTGTTTTGATCACTGTTCCTAAAGCTCTGGTGTAGACTCCTATAGACTTGACCTGTTTCAGGAAAGAAAAACTCCTGTTCTAGAGCAATTCAAAGTTAACATCAAATGGATCTGAATGCCTCTTGATGTTTGAAGCTGTAGGCAAAGTTTGTAGATGGGATAGATAGAAATAATCCCTGCCACTAACACAGCAACTATTATATAGTTGTAGGGGAAAACAATGCATTCTCTGATGCTTTGAGAATATCACATAGTGATATAATAAAGGACTGTGGTAATCAGCAACTTGTGAAGGGAAGCAGAATTAAGATTCCAGATGTAGCTCTTAACACTGTTTCTTGACTGAAGCATGTAACTAGTTGTCATTTACATAGTTTTCTATACGGAGAAGCCTGTAAATGGTTATGAAAATGGAACAGGAATATCTGCAATAGCCAGAAGAAGGAAGTGAACTACCTATGTCATTTTTGTGGTAGTGTTGTAGAGCTCAGGGAGGTTGGTACTTATGGAAAGGGGTGCCAGAGATCACTGGCAGCGTGTAAATATCCTGTTATGTCCTAAAGTGCAGGAACATGTAGCTGTAGAGGCAGGCACAGATTTAACAACAGCTTAGACTGCACTACAGCTGCTAGGCCTTATTTAATTATGTCATTTAGATAAAAATTGGACTGACTTCTCTTTCTTGGTCTTAAGTTTATCACTTTAGGAAGATGCGCTTTGTGATCAGTTCTTCCAAAATATATAGGATAGGAGAGGTAAATAGTATAATTTCTCTAATTTCTGTCTTTTTGTCAGAAAATGAACCTTGGCTCCTGCTTGAGGTCTTCTTTTTCTGTGTCTTTTTCTTATGAGGTATCTTTCCAACAGCTGTTTTCCCATGACATTGGATGTAAGATCCAATTATCTTTGAAAGTTACTGATGTTTATTTTTCTTCAGCTGTATTTTTTTCCCTTACAAGCTATGGGAGAATTATTTTGGACTAAGTTATATTGAATACTCAGTATTTTAATAGTGTCAAGCTGTAAGTGGTTTCCTCACCCTTTATATGAAGAGTTTAGTGGAAGGAGTGGGAGCTCTGAAGCCAACACTTAGATGGGAGTAACTCTTGTTCTAAAAACAAAAAAATTCAAGATTTACTGTTAGTGCCCTGTATGCACCCTTCTTTGTAAGGCACGGAAAAACATGGCCTTCATTCCTTTCCTTTAAAGTGTCTTTTAGAGGACCTCAGAAAATTTGAGCATCTTGGAGATCAAGGCATGCTTTGTGCTCCTACTGATTTTGAGTTTTGTTCTTAGCACCTTGCAGATCAGGGCTCTGCTAGAGTGCAATTTTTCCTCCCAGTTTTTACCACCTTACTAATGAATGTTTGCTGTATGTACTGTTAGGACTTTGCAGACAGCCAGCATTCATCCAAATACTGGCACTTTCATTAGGCTTCCTATTGTGCAAGTTAATTGAATTGCTGTGCGTACCTGACTGTAGCTGCCTGGGTTGTAGTGTTTTTCATTGCTCTGTCACTGAGATGCAAAAGGTGGATGCTCGCTGCCATTGACAGTACTGCACGATGTATCAAAGTCTGATAGTGAGTTTCTGTAGAGAACTCACCTGCTATAACAGTAACAGACACCTGACTGACCAGCTGGCATTTTTCAAGTTCCTTGCTTTTGTCAGTTGCACGAGCTTGGCTTCTGCTAGCATCAGCTTTCTGCCGCTTTCCACTGAAAATATCTTTCTAGTCTTGAAGGTCTTTTCTCTTTTATTTGTTTACTTCATATCTAGCCTGCACATTCCTGTGCTCTAAGGGAATAGGAATGCTGTATAGTGGAGCTGGAAAATTTTTCCTAACTGTGGTTAGACAAACACAGCAACTTTCAAGGTGCTGAGGTGGCAATGAGCAAAAAACTGAACTAGAAGTTGGCATGCACTAGAACAAAAGATGCATTTGTTCCATCCAGTCTTTCCTTTTACACACAAAAAAGACTTAGCATGAAGCCTTGTCGTTTTGGTTGTTTTTTTTTTTTTTTAAGTCTGCATTGATAGTCTGCTGCTTTCTCCAGCAGTCTTAATTTTATTCACTTACTGACCACTTTCAGCAACTGCTCCTGAACTGGGAATTGAATGCAGCCCACCACCACCACAAAACAAACAAACAAAACAAAACCAACCAACCAACAAACAAAAAACAAAAAAAAACACCAATGTCAACAGTTTATTGGAATTAAGATGAAAGTCACTGGCAAAATGGCCAGTGCTTTTTGGTGGTGGTGTTTTATTATTTTTAATTAGTGCTTTTAGCTGCTTTTCCCAACGAAGGTTTTTCACTGATGTCCAAGTAGTATAATCTCTAATTTGAAAACCTAGAATTACAGGAACTAAGATAATAATCTTATCAGGGGATACCCTGATAAAAGAGTTAGCAGCAAGTGTCAAAAGCATCTCAAGTAGAGGTTTATAGAAGTTGCAGTGCTTAATTAATTTTTGCTATTATTAAATACCTAAAGATCAATAACAGAGCATGGAGCAAGAACCTTTCTGCTGCTGCTGAAGTCTGTCATCTTCTGGGCACAGACACAGACCATAAAGTCTTATGATGTGCTTACTTTCTCTTGTCTGTTCACACCACCTATGAGGTACTATGCAATTACTTCCCCTTGAGACAGAAATTGTTTGTATAATTAACTTAGCTGAGAAAGACTACTGTACGTGCCATGCTTTGGAGTGACAGGGTAGGGGATGTTTATTGCTTTCTTCTGCAGTTGCATATACTGTAAGCTTACTTGCCTACATCTTTATTACTCATTTCCCCCGAGAAGGGGTATGATACGCCTGAAAGATGATAGCCTGAATAAAGTTGGATCCCACTTGCTGGGGAAATGTACTGAATGTTGCAGCTGACTGTCCTTTATTAACCCAGAATTTGTCTGAGAAGCCCTGGTGAGGTCATTAGTCTGGAAGGCCTCTGAACTACAGTGCTTAAACAGAATTGCTTTTCTGGCCAGGAAGGGAAGCTTGATCATATGTTGAAGAGTAAAATAGAGCAAGCAGAGGCTTGTGTTAACTCTTAGAATATTGACTCAAGTCTAAAATTTCTCCTGCCTCATCCACTAACTTTATTTGTGCAGCTTTGCAGATGGCAGCTTAGAAGAAAAATACGAGTTTAAGCCTTTGCCACACAGCCATAGAAAAACTTCTTACTGTCTGGCAGCTGCCTTTGTGTACAAACATACTTACCCTTCAGATGCTTGATGAAGAGTGAAGGTCCTTCTATGTCTTTTTTCCATGATATTGCAAAAGTGTAGGATATCTATACATAATTTGTCTGATACCATCACTCAATGTTGTGGTTTTGACTTCTCAACAAACTGACAAAGGGGAAGTTTAAATCAGAAAAAAAGACAGCACAAACATCGTGTTATCTCTGCACAACTGAGAGCAGTACAGAGGCAGTTTTATTGTCTAAGTGTCAAAGGAAGCAGGAAGAATTATCAACATGAGGGCTATGGGAAGTGCAGTAAGAACTAACTCTAAATAAGAGTTCTGTGCTGGCTACATAAAGACACAGAACTACACCAATTAATTACAAAAAGACACACATGATATGATTCTTAAAGAAAGAAACCTTCCATTTTTTAATTAGTTCTGAGCTGTACCAGTGATAGAGATGTAAATGGTTTTGGAACACCCTATCCTATGCTAGAGTGGAACAATGATGTGCATGGAAGGGGACCACTGTGGCCCCACTAGCACCATCTCAACCCTGACCTGGAGGGAGACTCTGCTCTGCAGAGATCTTGGGGGATTCAGTCGCCTTCTTGGCCTAATTGAATTGCTTTTGAGCAGACAGGGCCAGGGCACCACTGAAGGAGAGTGCTTGTGATACAAGTAAACACCTGCTTGGAAAACAGACAAAAAATATTAAATTCCCTTAGGAGTTCAGCTTAGCTGTAGAGGAACCATCTCCACCTTGCTCTGGCAAAGCAAAAACCAAGCTAGGATACAACTTGCTTCCATAGGTTCAGTTATTAACTCCATAATACAGGTCTTACTGTTAATAGGACAACAGTGCAAGACAACTAGAATACATGGTATTATTTCAGCCAGACTTGCACAGTACACATGGGGCACAGGCCCATCCTGCTTATATTTAGTGCCTGATTATCAGGACCCCACTTGAAATACTTAACTTAGAAGAAGCAAGTGGTTAAAGCAACCAGCCTCCTAAAGCAATTTTTCAGAACCACTTGAGCAGGGTAAAGCGCATCTGATTCAGACCTGCCTTTTGGCAACAGTAGGATTCTTCTGTTAGTTATGGTTTCTTAAACTGCAGTTTTAAGGACAGTTATGTTTCAGTCTGTACAACATCATGTGAGCCCACCTTAAGGGATAGGCACCTGATTAAGGCTTCCACCTGAAATACTTAAAAAATAATTAAAAAACCCCCCACGTTAAACATCTGATAACAGCAACACACTATTGTATGGTCACAGACTATGTTCCAACCACAGTTCTGGAGTCATTTATTCTGGTAGGCATCCAAGCATACTTTGTACTGACCCACACAGTGGCACACAGGTAAAATACTCATAGTCAACTGAATAAAAGCACTCCACTTCCAGCTAAAACACTTGCTAATATATCTTAAGTTTCTGAAGACTTGTTTAGCTTTTCACATTTTAAAAGTTAAAAAAAACAAACAAACAACAACAACAAAAAAAAAAAAACCAAAGGCCAGTGTGTCACGGGCTGATGAAGACTTGATCCCACTTCTCAGTATATGATGCTATCAGAGTGACACCATGGCAGAAAGTTCTTGGTTTTGCTCACTGATGCTTTTATCCATGAAAAAAAATTGCAATTGGCCAGCTGTCAAAGGGACTTCTCTACATAAAAATATCTCCTTATTTCAAGGTTTGCATTATATTTAAGATAGTTTTGCTAGTAGTAGGTCAGCATTTGTTCCAGTCACTTCTTTCAAAGCTGACCTGGACTTCACATACAACGTAGGCAGTATCTATCCAATCTCTGTACTGGAGGCAGTTCCACAGGATTCATGAGGGCTCATATGCAGAACAGACATCAGAGGGGACCTACTGAATAGTGAAAATTTATACCCCAGAGCTAAACAAACAATCATGTTAATATGTAACATTAAATAATAGGACTCATCAAGAGCCATGTTTTTTATTCAGCAGGCACTAAGGAGTACAAGTTACACCCTACATCCTTGTTTTCATTCCTTTCCTGCAGTTGTAAAGGCTGCAGAAGTGTGACAAAGACTCACCTCTAGCCTTTTTTTTTTTTTTAATAGATAAAGGCAGATAGAGCAGAAGCCAGAGTAGCTGGATGAGGAAGCTGAAGTGCAGAAGCAGGGTTCATTTTAAACTGTGCCCTCAAGTTTCTCAGGGCATAAATCTGGGTTGCACTAATCCTCTGTGTCACAGGGGACAGCTGTCTTGTTTGTTAGCAAGGAAGCTAAACTTTGTATTGATGTGATTCATCTTGTAATAGGGACTATAGGGAACGAGAGCAAGAAGGGGAAAATTGGTCATTTTCCCTTTCATTGTACTCTCTGTTGAACTGGAGATACGGAGCAAAAGACAGGGCTTCTTCCACACAGAGGAACAGAAGGTGGCTTGAAATAGTAACACCTAGTGTCTGTTCCTGTGTCCATCTTAAGGAGTTGTGGATACTAGATACATAAGAAGAATTAAATGACTCCTAATGTACATAATTGTGCAACTAAATCTTAAAAGAGGATATTGTCTCTGGCTACAGCTGGTGAGTGCTCTCAAGGATGAGGATTAAGAGACCTTGAACTCCACCTGTCATTCATTCTTTAAACATCCACTTCCTTGGTTTTCTAAACTATTGGCCTCAGTTACATCCTGCAGGAAAGTGCTTAATTAATGGGTGAAACAAAGCATTTTGTTTTTAGCCATTCTGCCCTGGTGATCTAACACTGCTTAGCATCCCTTTTGCTCACCTCTTAAGAAAACATCATTAGCATGCAGCTGACCCTTCCACTTACCACATCTTTTCTGAAGTTTTCTCCCACCCAATGCACTTCCCCTTCTCTCCAGCTAAAAAAACTCAGGTCTGTCCAGCTATTAAATGTGCTCTTTATGAAGCTCCTAATTATTCTCAATCTTTCCAGTTACTCTGAGTAAACTAACTTGCCAATCAGAGTCATGGTGTGGATGCATCCTAGTTTCATGTGACTTACGTTTTTTTTCCTGGATTTCTTCTGCTTTAATAAAACCTGACATTCAGTCTCCTTTGCTGACTGCTGCTCGTGTTTATTATATAATTCACAGTGGCACCTGAACTTTCAGTCTGTTGCATAGCAAACAGTAGGCAAAGGCAGTTTTTGGCTTCCAAATGATCCATATTATTTACAGTTAGCCATGGTACCTTTACAGCTAATACGATTGTTAGTACTCAGATGCTAAATATGTTAATTTACAGCCACAGAAATGAACAGAGGATGGATTCAACTGGCTGCTTGGCTTGCTACTGCCATCTATTTTTAAGTTGTTGCATACAGCTGGAATGCAAGGGAGGGGACAGGTGTTGCACTGCAGTATGGAAACAAATATCCTCTTCTGCAATAACCTTATCTTGAATCAGCAGCAGGTTATGCCACCACCCTGTGTACTGTCCTCCTGGTGATGCAGCAGAGCAGAAAAGTACAGACAACTAAGAGAGCTCAGAAAGACAAACTGCATGGTATGGATATAGCGCCTGGCGAGTTACATCACAGTTAAAGATGTACAATTAGGAACCTGTAAGGCCTGAGTTAAATCGCTTGTGGGTGGTGCTTTGAGGATTAACACTGCTTTAACTTGGCAGAAGATCTGATTTGTTTGGGGATAAGAACCCATTCTCTGCCACCAGAATAGCACTGCTTATGAGTGCGGCACAACTATCCTGCAACAAAAAAAACCCTGATGGAGCTGAGCTCCATCATGTTTCTAATGAGTCCACAGGAAAGCATAAGCCCAGTTCTAAGAAAATTATATACTTAGTACTTCAGAAAGCTTAGCTCCTTGTCAGTGTTGTTGTAAGATGGGTCTCAGTTTCTTTCCAGGACACTGCAACTCTCAGGCACAAATTTTGCATCCCCAGATCAGTGTACCAGATCACTGCAATGCCACACTGTTCTGATTTATGCCAACTCCAGTTTCCCTGTCTTAGACTTCAAAGAGAGACATGACAACACTCCAGATTTCTGACGAGCATTACACAGCGTAATCAGCAGTAAAACACTCCAGTCAAAGCTATAACCAGGCAGAGGTCCAGCCTGACCCTTGGGGAAAGGTTTGCTTAAGTGGTGCTGTTAAATACTGCAGCTCTCCAATGAGCCAGAACACAAGCACAGCTCCAGGACTGGGATGGGAAATAACTTTCAGGAAGCTTGATGCTGAACTGGTAGGAAAGCAGTTACAACTTCATTGAGCAAGGCTTCCTCCCAACAGGTGCCTGTAACTTGCACTAGTATCATTGAGGGAGAAGCATGATCTATGTGGAAAGGAGAAATGCTTGTAAACCCTGTTCAGATCAATAAATTCTTCTTTAGGTATTTTCTCTTAAAACTTACATTTCAGTGACAGAAATACCTTCCATAAGCTTTCAATTTAGCAGTCGCTACAAGTAAATAGAAGACTGATGAAGAGATGACTTAAAGTTCAGGCTGCCAGCCAGTCCCAACCTCCCCTGCTGGGATGATGGATGTTTCTGTGCCTGCTTTCACATGGCAATGGCTTGGGCATATCTCGACCCACTTTGCAGCAACTCCTCAGAATCACAATGACTTAAGATTGTTATCTGCCTACTCCCTCAGAGCCAATGAAATGTACTGAAATAGGATTAAACATATAAGATACAATTTCCCCAGATGAAGATGAGGCCCTTACATGATCAATAATAAATTGGGCTGAGAAAATTATGCCCTCTTACAAGAGCATTGCTTTCAGAATGACAAAACCAGGAGTTTTTGCACAAGATGTGGGGTCATCCCATTCCAGCATCACTCCTTCCTCTGCTCTGCATAGGCTCAAGACTTCTGTGCAGGTAGGGAGGAAGAACTGTTGAAGCGATGCTTAATCTTACATGCTGTCAACTCAAAAAATTGATAAGTCCACTGATCCCACTCACTTCCTATTGTCCCTGCAGCACACTCCCACAGATGTACTGATCTTTTTATTTCTTTTTAAAAAAATACTTATTTCAGTGAGTTAAGATGGACACCTCTTCCAGAAACAGGCAGGTGAACCCTTTGGGACCCATGGGATCCAGTTCTGGGACTGGCCCACTAGAAAGTACCTGGTAAGACCAGCACTCTGTTCCATTCCTGCTCTCCTGTCCCCTTTGTCAGAATTGCAGCAAGTGGATCCAGGTCCCAGCTGTGGCCAGCAAGAAGCCTGTAGAGCTTTTTCACACCCGGATTTGGTACCCATTGAGATCTGGCATGGCTTTGGGGTCAGCAGGCTTCTTCTCACCAGATGGCCTGTGTGCAGAAAGAGTAAGAACTATTCAGGAATTGTTTTTCTGGTCAGGAAAGCATGTACAGATGCTCGCACAGAAGAAGCATATAGGAAAGCTTCACAGTTAACCTATGTGGCTGAAGGCAGGATTTTTTGGTAACCTTCACCAACTCTCTTAACAGTCTCCACAGGAAGAGAACACAAGTTAGGAAGAATAGAAAGTCTACAGTGGTATCCCAGATCACGGTAATGAAAACAGTCCCACTGACCAGCGAGCAGAATCTCTTTGGGCGTAGGTTTGTGAGATACCAAAACTGAGACTCCTAGGCAAATACCAGGCACGGGGATCACTGACTATTTAAGCAGCCTCCCTCCTCCCCACCTAAACATCAAAAACAACAAAAGCAACCAAACAAAAACCAAAGCCCCAGTAACAAATCAGAAGGATAAAAATAAAAAAAATAAAAAAAATAAAAATAAAGCAAGGAAGAGTCTGTCAAACAAACGAACCAGAGATGCGCTAGATAGGCCTTCTGGCCAGCAGCCCCACTCACCGTCGGTCCCCACGGCTGTTGCGGCGATGAGGACTGGCCTGACCTCTTTGTGGGGAGGAAACATCTTTCTTTCTGTCCTTGGTGGGAGACGGTGGCCCTGTTCCTTTGCCAATCTGCCAAACAAACAAACAGAAAGTAATATGAGCAGAATATGAGTAGTAACCAGAAAACACGAAGCTGAAGAACTATTAATTAAATGGGAATAAAAAAGCAAGATAAGTGAACCAAAAATACAAAAGCCAGAAAACAAACTACAATCACTGCTATGGCTCCAAGGAATGTATACAGTCCAAGGTAATCACAACTGCAGTACTGCCTGCATGTCCTTTACGGAACCAGCCTAGTCACAAAGCAGAGGAGCCAATTCACACTCCACTCCATCACCATTCTAATTCCTCCAACATGCCATAGGCCGGGCAAGACGGTGGATGCTGCAAACTACTGCTACTCCATGCTGTCTGCTCACCTTGAGCCTCATGTCACGGGCGTGTCTCTCAAGTTCTTTGCGGAAGTCTTCCCGGCTTAGCTTGTCTAGATCCAAGATGGAATGCTTCCACTCAATCTGCTCCACACTGTGTGGGTCATGGGATACACAGTGCCCTAGCTTCACCTTTTTGAGCGTGTGCCAGCAGCGGCGATACGCCTCCTCGAAGTCAAAAATGAGTTCACTCAGTGTGCGGAAGACGGGTGCTTTGTACATGAGCTCTTCACGTCGGCTGATGCCCAGTGCCCCATAGCGGCCTCCAAAGTTCACCCCCAGCACGATGTGTCGGAAGTAGTTCCCTGAGAAGTGGGTTTTGAAGCTGATGGGGAAACGGTCCAGCGTAGTCATGTTGTTGGTGAGGTAACTAACAGCAGCCACTATTCAGGAAACAACCAGTGATGCCAGTTGCTTGGCAAGCTAGTTACTTCTTGCTTCAAGCCCTCCCACCCTGCTTAGCACCCTTAGTCATTCAGGTATCACATTGGTGGGATTTGTTCTTCAGATCAACAGGCCAGCTCACTGCAAGTTGCCCTACTGATAAGGAAACCAGGCTTGGCCTTTTCACCAAGGCAGTCAACAAAAAGGAGCTCATTTGCAGACAATTTTGTGATGAGAAGTTGCAACACCAACACATTTAGTGTACTGTATTGCATAGTTTCAAGCTGCAATGCTGTAGCATTATTCATTAGCTTGTTTTAATCTGTTTCATTATTATTTCACATAGAAACTGAGGATCCTTCAGTACTCAGACCACCCTTCTGAACCACTTGCCATCTCTGCCCCTGCAAGTAGTTTTGTCAATTTGCATCAATAATCTGTAGTCCAGTCTATAGATGTAGACTATGCGTAGACTATGCCTGGGAGATAGCTGGGAAAAGCAAGCTCTTGAAGAAGGCACAAGCCTAGAATTAAAGGCATTGCCTAACTTGACAAGCAGTGCTAGCTATCATTCTGAAGTGACATACACCATAATTAGGTTGGGGAGGATCCCTAATTTATCTTAGTGAAGAACACATGCAGGCAACACTGCAGTAAGGGAACAATGTTATCCACAAAGGACCTCCTCACCTAACCCTAGCTAATATTTTTGCCACCTTTATATGTTCCTTAGATCCTTTCTCTTTTACTTGCTTCCAAAATAGTCCATAGCAGCACCCCATCTCTGAAGAACTAGTTCTGCTATTTCAGAAGATTGCTTGGATTTGGATTTTATTGGTAGGGATTTTAGGGAAAACTGGAGAAGAAAAACAGGGGTGTGGAGCTTGGTGACAACATTTATCAGCAATCTCAAAACATCAGAGGGGAAAACTCAAGGATGGTCAGGCATGCACATTTCTGGGAGGAAAGGATACATTCCCAGGATCACAGCTTCCAGGCATTTGATTGGCAGGGCCTCTTTGGTCATTTCTTTGGCCAGATCCATCAGCCTGTGGAGCAGGACAAGGGAAAGATGAGAGTTAGAGGGCTTGCACTATGCAAGTATGGCTAGTCCAGCCCTTTTGCAGTATAGATACAACATGGGTTTCCAGGAGAGACAAAGGCGCATCAAGAATAGGGAAAAGCAGAGTGTTTTGGGAAGATATAAATCCAAACCTGCACTCTTCCACATATTGTCACTGCTTACAAGAAGCTCCTACAGTGAGTTGTAATAATGCTGCAAGCCAATGTCTTGTTCCCAGGAAGACCACAGCACTTGGCTCAGTGAGTTCTGGATGGACACTGACATGACCAGAAGCAGAAATCTCAATGCACCAGGGGCCAGCAGTGTTTGCCTCATAAGGCTCAAGGACAGCAAAGGCCTCTTCTATGGCATGAAACAATATTGTTCTACATTCAGTAAACACCATGGAGACATTGCACTGACTACAATACAAGACACCCAAGTTCCCATAAGCCTGTGGACTAGGTAAATAATAAGAAGCCAGTCTTGAGAGAGTATGCTGAGCAAGAGAGCCAGTGAACATCAGGTGCTTATCTACAGAAGCTTATCAGTTCTCCAAGGTTTGCAGTTGGGAGAATTCTCCTCCTCCTTCAGAGTATGACACACCTAAAGTTTAGCAAGCATACATACTGCAGAGGCACTCACAGGTACTATAAAGTTAGCCCTATAAAGATGTTTGAAGGATTATTTAGGGCAGGACCTAGCTTCAGAAACCATCACAAATTCATGTAGTTATATTGCAATTAGAAACAGGAAGAATCTGCACATATCTGAAATATAATTCTGTCATTTTACTTGATCTACTGATTCATGACAACAAAACTTACCCTTGTCCTTGAGAAAGGCTACACACAGTTCTACTCAGCCATACCCCAGGCAATACACAATAAAGTCAACTAAAGAAGGATGTAGCTTCAGTATTGAAAATGGTGACTGCCTTCTAGACCTTGGCCAGGGGCTCAGTAAACAAACAGTGGGTATGGCAAGGCCCCAACATTTTAAAGCAAGGATTAAGTGTGGCAGAGGCTGCCGGCACTTACCCAGTCAGAGGTCTGCTCTTCTTAATCTCAAAGAATTGTGTCCCAGTGTGATTGTACCTAGAAGTAAGAAGTTAAGGGCTTGGCAGTTTGGAAAGTAGAGTTTTGAAGAAAACCTGCCCAAAAAACTTTCATGATACTATTTCTCAGAGCAAATTCAGGATCTCACAAATACAGCAACAAAGCAAGAAAATTCCCATCTCCCTATTCCACATTTTTCCCCACTTATAATTCCTCTTTAGTCCCACTCTCCTTCTTTCTTGTCAATTCTTCTTTTCCTCCTCACCACATACAGGTTTCCACTTCATTTCCCAAAGGTCTGTGCTGACAGACCAAGCTCTACTCATTTTTTCATTTATAAAGGCAGAGAAAGTTTGATAGATATGTCTGCTCCAGCCTGCACAGAGCCTTAAAATGTTATTGGTACTTTACTCTTAGTCTGACAGAGATCCAGTCTGAGACACAGACTCCTTGATGGGTGAGAGGTGCCAAAAGGACTGCCATTGTACCTTTTGCAAAGGCAGAGGTCAGGACTGGATCTGTGTCTCACCACTGAGATTACACTGTGCTTGCAAGGCACGTACCTCTTATCCAGCACAGCAAAGATGGAGCAGCTCTGAACAGAAAGGGACAGGATACCACAGATGCACAAGAGCAGTGTGGCTGACTATCCTTTAAGACAGCTACAGGAATGCAACACATCGTAGTTCATCTGAGACCCTGCTCTCAAGGTCTTAGATATATACATTTTAAAAGAAATGTGACTATAAAGCCAGTGGGCTGGTTAGAGCGGGTGGTGGGGAAGGGCCTCTGAAAACATGCCATGGAGCAAACAAGATCAGATGGTAGCTTGGACAGAAAAGAAACAAAGCAGCAAAACAAACCATCATCCAAAGCCCAGTTTCCTGTTTTCAGGAAACAAACTTCAGTTCTTCTCCAGCTACATCAGAATAAGCTCTTCTCTTTCGTAGGGAAAGAAAATCTGCTTCCTTCTTCTTCCTGGGTAATCATATCAGTGACCAAGGTAACAGTAAAGGATACTGAAGCTCCCTGATGTAGCGCTGTACAGCTTCCAGGCGCTCAGGGATGGGGGTGGATGGCTGGAACGCAGGCACACTTGGTATGGGAATCTGAAACAGGGAACAGAACATAAATCACCACTTCGAAACCTCTCCAGCTTCTTTTGAACTCAGTGATACACAGCTACATGAAGCACGTTCCTCTAAAACCAGCCCCTTTTTGCTGCCTGAAGTGACCATGCCAGGTACATTTCTCTGTTCTCATACTAGTAACTGATTCACTGGTAACAGTTTCAAAGAAGCAACGCCACAGAGCTGCAAGAGAAAATGCCCCAAAGGGTCCTACTGTTAGGGAATGCAACAGGCAAAGAATTAGATGAAATTATCTAACAAGGCAAGATGTGAGACAAGCACTATCAGACAGGGGAGCCTGGGTCCATTTGAGTAAGCAAACTGGGAGGCACAAAACAAGAAAGAAAGAGAGAGAGGTAAAAATTGAAAATAATTTCCCCCAAAGCCACTGGAGCAAAGGCTTACAAGATCCTTACTGCCTCCTGGAATCTCAGAGCAGTTGGCACTGACTAGGACACAGGCTGGACAGCATGACTCCCCACCTTCTGTATTTGTTGTTTTGAATTACATAGGGAATGACTTCCGAAAGTTCACCATTCAGACTGCTGTCCCATTCTAAGGCCTCAGCTTTATGGGTCCAGTCCAATTTTCCCCTCCCCTTGCTCCACAGGGGATAACTGCAGCTTTGTCAGCAGCTGAGAAAATGTGTCTAAGGAAGGGAAGAGGTCCTGTCTGCTCAGCTACAGTGGACAGGCAAGCCAGGATGGCAGACAGCCCTGACGACATATTCATTCAACAAATATAATGGAGAAGACACAAATTTGGTGTGACTGACAGGCTCACAGAAACAATTCAGTATCTTCCCTCTGAAGGATAGCTCATGCCTTTCACACCCCATCTGATACCAGACTGTAGCTTTTCACAGCAGTTTGAATTTCAACATTTCAGTTCCTGCTCAGAATTCCCCCAGACATGGGCTATCCCCCACCTAAGAAGGCATGAGTCAGAAACAGATCTTCCCTTGGGGCCTTCCACTCTGCTGCACACCAACTGCCTCTGTTGGCAGCAGATTTGTAGCCAGCAGCACTGCTGAGCCATTCATCTCCCTCTGCATGTGTATCTGTAATCACTCATTTCCATGCCTCCTTCTTCTGCCTTGGGCTGCCAGAAGTGACCAGTGAAACAGGCCAGGCACCTGCACCAGCTGAAAGCTGAGCCAGTGAGCATGGCTAGTTCTCAGTCAGATCAGTTCCCTGACCTGGTTTGCCACATGGCCACAGCCAGCTTGTGCCAATATGGTAGAGTGGCCAGGGACTGTCCTAGCCTCTTGAAACTATTTGGTTTTTCAATATATCTACAACTACCATCAGCAAGCAAACATTGAGGTAAACTCAGTCTCCATCCATCTTGATCTTTCTTTTCTTCTTGAAGTAAGAAAATAGTACCATTTGGACACTGGTACACATTTTCCTAGCATCTCTTGGATGTTCCACTTCACCATTTCCAATGCCGTGTTTCTGTACCTTGTTTGGAGCAAGCAAATGCACTTGCAGGAAACACACAGCAGGAGCAGATGTGAAACTGTGTTTGTTCAGCCACAGCAGGAGCAGGGAAGGCTCCAGAGAGTAGCACAGGGATGGAGCCATCTCTGGAACCGTGAGAGCTGAGTCAGTTTGGATGCTGGGAGCTGACAACTGAGTCATATGATATCATTTCCAGGCAGAAATAGCCAGAGAGGTAACAAGCAGGACAGTATGACTATTTCACTTCGTTTCATTTCTTCAGCTTTGGGACTTTCAGGCTTTTGGAATGGATTACCATTCCTAACACCGATTAAGTCCATGTTGATAGCACAGATTAAGGATGCTGCTTTCCTGAAAGGACTGACACACTGTAATGGCAACCAGTTCAGCAGGGGACTAGTTAACACAGAGCGCTGCATGCACCTCAAGTAATTAAACTGATGAAAGGACAGTGTGCTCACTTTCTCTCAGATCTGGGCCTCCAGCCCAGGCTGGGCTACAGTTTCTTATACATCTACAGCATTTTACTGGGGCAGGAGGGGAGGAGAGGAGAAAGGTCCCCACTCCTCAATCCCACTTTGACCCCAACAATTTGTTCTTACCTGGCACTATCCATTGTGTATCTCAGAAGGCTTATAAATAGTAGGCAGTCTTAAGAGTCTTCCAGGATGCAAAGAGGAATTAATTTGCAAGAAAAACAAGAGAAAATCAGATCTATTTTGCTCTCCCTTTAGTTGCACTGAAAGCTGGAGAGAGAGCTAGGAAGAGAGCCCAGATTTCCAAGAGCACACACCTCTGCCAGGCTTAGCAGACTGAACACATCCTTGGTCCCTCATCACTTGTGTTGAGGAGCTGCATCACCCCACCCTTGGATTCCTGCATGCTGACAGGCTGGCTATATGCATAGGACTGGGCCTGACTTCAGAAAGAGGATCCAGAAAAGAACAGATTTTTATATACTAAGTGGACTATAATGTGCAAGAGACAAAAAGGATGAGAGGCAAAAAGCTCCAGCATTATCTATGTCACAGGGGTATGTTTTTGGCCAGCCTAGTTTAGCAACAGCTTCTCTTACAGTGCTTTTATTTATCTGAGCTCCTTCCTAATTTCCCTTTTGTAAGCCGCATGGGAGCAATATCAATCCCAGTCATTAGCCTGACTAAAGAAATTGGATTTTCTTCCTCTCTATCCATACAAACTCATCAGATGCAATACTTCCCGTCTTTGCCCTCATAACTACTGCATGTAGAATACAGCTTAAAGTATGCGAGGGCTCATCGTTTTGTTTTTCCATTGTGAAGCTCCAAGCAAAGCAGCATCATACCTACAGCTAGAAAGGGAACAACCTACAAAATGGTGCCATACTCAACCCTTGCATGCACAACCAACCAACTGCATCCTGCCAGCCTGGCCTGGCTTGCTTGATAGATACTCCAAACCTACCAGAAGGAAATCTTTGGCCCCTGGGGAGATCTCTGAACACAACACCATAGCAAAAGACACAGCCTCAGCAGCTGATCTGTGAGCATGTCCACAATGTCTGGACACAGCCTTATGCAGTCATCATTTTATGGCATTATGTTTAGCTTACAGACAACTCTGTCACGAATTACTTCCCCCAACATGGGCCACACTTCAAGGCGAGAATTTGAGAGCGAGCAAACCATTGTCTGACTCCCAACACTTAAAAAGGTGTAATTGCCTTCCAGCCTATGGAGAGTATCTGGCCCTTCAGAGGAGCTTGCTCTGCTCACTGCCCTAATTCTCATCTGTTGCATCAGTCATGCAAAGAAACTTAATGAAACAGAGATGCATCTCAAGCAAACCTCAAAGATAAAAACACTCCCAGAGGGGAGGAAGAGCTGGGAAGCAGAGCCCATTCATCCTAGCTGCTTCCTGCATCCCTGCATCTTGTCTGTAGCTTGGGCATAGCATTTCAAATTGTACAGCGCTGAACAGAGTTTATAGCTCCAGTTCCCAGGGGTGCCAGCAGACACCAAACAACAACAAATAACGGATAGACCACTTTCATCAGTTATTCTAGAGGAGCACATCCTGCTTGTGTCCCCTGACTGTGACCCTCTGGCACTAAAACTGTAAAAGACTGCTAAGTGAGAACAAAAGCAGAAGTACTTCACATCATGACCCAAAGCAGAGACTGAGCACAGTATTCCCCCCCCTTCCTGCACCACACTCCTCTTTGTGAGCTTCTTTCTTCCATTTCCCTCACCAAATCATCCCTTCTGATCAGGAAATTAAGCACTGCATGTTCTGACTGATCAGAAACACATTTTCAGCTTTCACTTGGGCTCAGAACAAAGTCCAGGGAAATGTGAAAGGGAAAGGAAAAGTCTAGCAGTGTTAGAATAGGGCCTACAGTCAGGATTTAGAATTTGGTCTGGTTGCTGCCGTGTAACTCCTCACTGCGAAAAGGAACTTCGGCCACACACATCTCCAGGGCTCCCGGTGGACAGCGGTACAGGTTGCCTGTATGCACACCGTGTAACAGTGCAGTTTTGCCTATTTCAAGTTTCCTTCTCAAGGAATGAAGTATTTGCTAAGAAAGCACAGGCAGAAAATGCCTAATCTTTCTGTATTTCAGTTTCCTGTTAGCATGATGGGAACACTCCCCTGACTGGCCAATGGAGTGACACACCAAGTATTCGCAGTGCCTTTGTTCACAAGATGCCAATGGAAAGAGGCAATTTTTCTCCAGTTAAGGTGCAAGCAGATAGCAACAACCACCCGGATTCATGTGTAAATGATTCGGTAGGGCCCAAAGCTACACAAAATGCCCACTGCTTCCTCTTTTTATTGAGTTCTCTGCAGCTAGGCCAGGAATATGCTTGGAAATGACATCTGACCCTACACCAGCAAAAAGCTCTGTGCACGTCTGCAAGCTCCTCTTTAGATTCTTGGGCATCAAGGGTCCCTTTTCCATCAGATACGGTTCTGTGCAAGAGTTCCTTATACAAACTGTGCCCGAATCTGACTTCTGATGCGAAGCCTCACCTTCCTCGGTCCCCCTCCTCACGGGCGGGGACTCCCCAGCCCAACTCCTCATCTTTCTATCGTCCATCTCTTTTCTCACTTTATTAAGCCGGACCATCTCCCTCCCACACAACGCGCACACGGAGGCCGTTTACTTTCCAGCACGGCCCCTCGTAAGGAGGGCGATTCCTCAGAGCCCGGCGCCGTGATCGGACACAGCCCCTCGGGCCCCGCCAAGAGGACCGCTCCGAGCCGCAGGGCCGGGCCAGCGCCGCCGCTCTCGCATTTCGCCTCTTCCCTTTGCGCGCCCCTAAGGCCGGCTCCACCGCGGCCCCTCACCTTGGGCAGATCGGCGGCGCCGCGGATGCGCTCCGCCACCCGCTCCCCGTCGGGGTGGATCCTGGCCACATGCCGCCACATCCGCTCCCAGGTGGGCTCGTCCACCGGCAGCCCGCCGCGGTTGACGAAGAACGGCACGCCGCCGTCGCGCAGGTCCTCCTCGCCCTCCTCCTCCTGCTCCTCCTCCCGCGTCGCCGCCGCCGCTTCGCCGGACGCGGGCAGCCTGGCGGCGGCCGCGGCCCCGCCGCCTCCCGGCAGCGGCATCGCCGCCGCCCGCGCTCAGCGCCCGCCGCCCCTCGCCGGGCCGCCGGGAGCCGCGTTCCGCATGGCCCGGGCGGGAGCGCGGGGCGTCACCTCCCGCGGCGCGGCCTCGCCGCCCGGAGGATCAGAACAGGGGGCCGCGGGGGGGAAGGCGAGAGAGAGCCCGGCGGGGCGGCGCCGGATGCCTCCCGCCCGCTCGCATCGGGCCGGGGAGGCGCCGGCGGCCCGACGGCCCGCGGCGGAGAAGGGGGGGCGCGGAGCGGGGCGGGCCCGCCGCCGGGGCGCCCCCGCCGCGCCGCCTCCCGAGCGCTCCGCGGGGCGGGCGGAGACGGCCGCCTCCCGGCCGCTGCCGCATGCGGGTAACAAAGCCGCCGCGACGGGCTGGGCCGAGCCGAGCCCGGCCCCGCTCCGCCCAGCTCCGCCCCGGGCCCGGCGTCTGAAGCCGGCGCGGGGGTCGCGGGGATCTCGCGGCCCACCGGATCGGCGGGGCTGGCGTGGACGCCGTCCGCCGCGGCGGTCGGCGCGCGGCGGGCGCGTCGCTGCTGTCCGCGGGCGATAAGGGCACAGGCGGCTGCGGCCAGCGATAAGCGGCGGTGCGACGGAGGGAGCGGGCGGGCGCCCTGGGGGCGGGGCCAGACAAAAGGGGCGTGGTCAAGAAAGGGGCGGGCAGAATAAAAGGGGCGGTGCGCGGCCACTTAACGGTCCTTGCACCAGGTGTTCTTTGGGGGCGGGGTGCGTCTGTGGGGTTGCGCGGAACGCGGCCAGCAGGATGGAGCCGGCAGGTAGAAAGCACGCGGTGGTGAGGGTGATGGGTCTGTTTCTGTTTGCACCCAGGGTTGAGTGTCGTGCTGTGGAGGTGAGGGAACCTCTGTGCTTTCTGTAGTACTTAAACACTTTCCTCAGTGAGTAAGGATTTCTCCCTGGTTGTGGACCTTGAGCAGCACTGACTGATCCCTTCAGTAAGATCTGTAGCGTTACGGCTGTCTTTGCCTCTTGCCTGCGTGTAAATGAAGTAGATTCCTTACATCAGGAAGGACGGCCGAGCCTTAGCAGGAGTTACTGCGCAGCCCTGAACAGGTGCCTTTTATCCAGACAGATTATACCTGCTGTGTCCGTTCCTCAGCCCTGCCTTCCCCCTGCTCCTCCTCTGGCACGGGCCCAGAGGTGGGTCACACACAGGGCTGTACGTTGGGGTGACAGGCATGCTGCCAGTAACAGTGCTGGGAAAGCATGGTACAAGGCTTTTAAATGCTTCTGTAGGAGCTGCTTTGCTTCCCCTGGCTGTTGCTCAAGCACAGCTCTCTACAGAAGCAGGGATTTTGGTTTTGAACTTCATCAGTAGTTGGTTAGCCATGTGTGGTGCTTTCTGTGCTCCAGCTTTTCCCTCTGTCAGAGATAAGTGCTAATAAGCCTGATCTGCAGCCAGAGATTTAAAAAAAAAATTAGTTGGCATCTGTGACACTTCAAGAGTTGTTCTTTCCTGTGTGGTAATACAAGTGCAACGCACTCCTTGTGTCTGTAGTGGCCTGAAATGTATCCTTAATTGGACGAATAGTAGCAGATAATTATCAGCAGGCTTTAAAAAAAATTTTGCTGGAGAGTTGTTTGTGGTAGTTAATAAACAGTGTTTGTTTCCTCTGGTTGTCATGTAAATGTTGCAGCAACAGGTCGGTATTTTAAAGGTAGTAGCAGTGCTGCACTTCCTTTAGTGGGGAAAATCAGAGCGCAGCTGTGCTGAATGAACTGGTCTGTGCCAGGTGGATATGAGTGAGGTGATAGAAAGGGCAGAGAAATGGCTGCCATGTCTCCACAGCTGGTATTGTTTTGTCTATAGATGCTGTTACTTGTGATACGGGCTGTGTAATGGCTGTTTCTCATTTCTAGGAGCAGATTACTGTAGCTATGACAATGTGGGACCAGAAGAACTCAATTTATTATTATTTTTTTAAATAATGGTAATAGAAAGCTTTGTTTTACCTGTCCTCTGTAGAGGAAGAGTGCAGGCGCTTTCTGTGAATCACACTTGAGAGCAGTTTAGAAGAGTTAAGCTTAGTTACGACAGGGAGGTTGACGCTTGTTCATAGTGAAGGGACAAACAGCACTGATAGGGAAAGGACTAAAATCAAGCCGGAACTTCTCTGAACAAATTCACTCAGAATATACAAAATATTTGATGAAAGTAGTGTAGAGAGCAGTTTAAAGAAATTCTTGCTGCCTCCTGAGTGAAGTGGGAGTTCCACCTGTTGCAGGGGATCCAAAATTTGTTTCTGAAAATGGTAGTGAGGCCATGGAGAGAACATGAACAGGCTTGAGCTGTGGGCCCAGGTGAACCTCATGAGGATCAATAAATCTAAGTGCAAAGTCTTGCACCTGTGTTGTGGCAACTCCCACTATCAGTGCAAGCTGGGGGATGTAAGAATGGAGCACAGCCCTGCTGAGAAGGACTTGGGATTACTGGTGGATGGGAAGCTGGACATGAGCCAGCAGTGTGCCTTTGCAGCCCAGAAGGCCAACTGTATCCTGGGCTGCATCAAAAGAAGTGCAGGGTGAGGGAGTTGATCCTGCCCCTCTACTCTGTGTTGTTGAGACCTCATCTGAGTAACGTGTCTCTCCCGTACTGAGGACTCCACATATGGACATGAACCTGTTGGAGTGTATCCAGAAGAGGGCCACAAAAATGATCTGAAGGATGGAACACCCCTCCTATGAGGATAGGCTGACAGAGCTGGGGCTGTTCAACCTGGAGAAGAGAAGGATCTGGTGAGGCCTGGGAGTGGCCTGTCAGTATCTACAGGTGTGCTATAAGGAGTAAGGGGACAAACTTTTGAGTAGGGTCTGTTGTGGTAGAAGGGGAAATGGTTTCAAACTAGATCAGGAGGTTTATATTGGATATGAGGAAGAAAATTTTTACAATAAGGGTAGTGAAGCTGCAGAACAGGTTGCCCAGAGATGTGGTGGATGCCTCATCCCAGGGCTGTCAGGCTGGACTGAGCTCTGAGCAAGCTGATTGAGCTGTAGGTGTTCTATTCATCGCAGGAAGTTGGGCTAGATGGCCTTTAAGGGTCCATTCCATCTTAAACAATTCTATGATACAACCCTGTATTGCTCAGAGCATGGAGTCTGCTGCTTGGTTCCTTTTTTGTATCTGTTTTGTTCCCTTTTCTGTATGTCTGAAAGACTCCAGAGGCAGTGACTTCAGACTCTTGTGACAAACTGGCATCTTTCTTAATTTATTTCCCCAGGCTGATTTAGCTTCAAAGTTATTATCAATAACCATTCATTTCCTGTGGCATTTTTCACATGTTTATTCTGTATGTGTTAGAATTGCTTGTTTCAAAGGCACCTATAGGTTGTCTGATTTAATTTTCAGAACTTAGCCCTTGCTTTCCACTTGCTGGAGTCACTTCAGGCTCCCAAATGTCACCTGAGAGCCTGCAGTGTACTTAATGAGAGCTCTTCTCCTGTGGTGTGTGCTCCTATATACCACAGGTTTCCTTGCACCTGTAGGTTACTCCTGCAGATCCACACTTTCTTCCAGGCTTTACTCTCCTCGTGGCAGCTGTGAGAGGGAGTGAGGAACTTCACAGTTTGTTTCATTTGGAGTTTCTCTTTTGTTCTGAATAATAACCTTGCTTGATGAGAAGGACTTAGGGCTTAGCTATGGCATTTCAGGGCTGGAACACAGGAGCAAACAGCCTATCATCTAGATTGCTTTGTGCCACCCCAGCTTAGAGGCAGGGTGTGAGACCAGAAGCTAGATTTTTGGGTTGTGTGCAAGACTGACATCTGAAGGTTAGTTCATCCAGATGGGAAACAAAAAAAGCACAACAATACTTGGGTGCCTAGTGAAAGAATGTTAAGAGTAGATATTTAAATTTAAGTTCAACTATTTCCATCAGAGAAAGACCATAGATTGAAATGGTTTGGCATCAAATTTCAGTGAAAGGAATTTGAATTTGGAAAACTAACAGGTTAAAGTATTTTATTTAGCTGGGAAGGGAAAGAGTGTTGTTCTCTGAATCATAGAATGAGTTCTAGAATGGCTTGGGTTGGAAGGGAGCCCAAGGATCTTTGAGTTCTGACCCCCTGCCACAGACAGGGCCACCAACCTCCAGATCTGGTACTAGACCAGGCTGCCTGGGACCCCATCCAACCTGGTCTTGAACACCTCCAGGGACAGAGCATCCACAGCCTCTCTGGGCAGCCTGTTCCAGCACCTCACCACTCTTTCTGTAAAGAACTTATTCCTGATATCCAATCTAAACTTGCCCTCTGAGCTTAAAGCCATTTCCCTTTGTCCTATCACTCTCTACACTTGTAAAAAGTTGATTCCCTTCCTGTTTATAATTTTCTTTTAAATACTGGAAGGCTGCAGTGAGGTCTCCTTGCAGCCTTCTCCAGGCTGAGAGAGGCAAACTCCAGTTTTAGGAGTCACGAGAGAGTTGATAGAGCTTTCTTCTATATAAGTGCTCAGAACCTGAAGTTAAATCAGTTACCTGCTATTAAAGTTAATTTTTTTTAATTCAACTTTTGGAAAAAGTTAGTGGGCTCTTTGATAAAATTCTTAATTTCCTTTCTATCTATCTGATATTTTCTCTAGAGGTGGAGAGGAAACTGGCTACTCCCATGGAACCCCATTTCCTGTTCTGCACTGGTACAAAACAGACACCTCTGAAAGATTTAACTGAACCAGAATAACATCTGCTCTGATACTCAGGCTATTTCTTTTGCTTGTTGGAACAGCATTCAAATCTCAGCAGTGTTTCATATGAAACACTACTGAGTATACATTTCTCAATTTGAAATAGTTATGGTGATCTTGGACTGCAATCTGAATCTATCTTTTGTGGGTCAGAGTGAGCACTCACTTATGCACAGAAGACACTTCTTCCAAACTAGCCAGCAGTGTTGGTAGGTCGGAGCTTACTTGGAGCTTTAGGGTTCAGTATTTCTGAGCTGAGTCTCATTGTATAGGCAGTTTGAATTTGTCTGTCTTACCTTTGTCTCTGCAGATTGCCAAAACATTCTAGAATTCATGCTTTTCCCTTTTGGTTTGATCAGAAAATCTTCTCTGAACTACAGTAACCTCCTTAACAGAAATTTGGTTTTCTTCAGCAGATTTTCAATTAACTTGCATTTCCCGAGTACAAAGATGTTTCCTCAGTATTTTTTAAATTAATTCTAATTACTTAGTCAAATTGATCCTCAGCAATTTTCTGTTTCCATCTTGTTCCTTAGTATTTTCAATTTTAACTGTGTGATTCAGTGGCAATAGGGAATTTCTTTTCTTGAAGCCAGGGATGAAGTTAATGCGGCAAAGAAGCTTTCAAGTGCTCCAGGGGTTTCAGAGATCTGTGCTGTCTCCATATTTCTCCTGTTTTCTTGCATCCTTTCAAATTGGAGAAATTCTGTTCTTCTATTTCTGCTATTGGAGAAATAAAATAGAGAAGCTAAGCATGTGATTTTTCACTCTAGATGAAAAGACACCTGAGCTGGTTTATCATTGACCTCAAACAATTCATGCAGTGCAATGAGCCAACTAGTTTAAAACCACCTCCCTGCAATGGCGTCTGAATTTCCTGGTGCTGCTTCTGGCCCATGCTGGTACAGCAGTGCTGTGCCATCTGCATTCTCTGCTTGGGAATGAGTTCTGCATTGTTCCCTGCTGTGAGGCATAGGCCTGTCCTGAGTGACTTGTTCAAGATGATATGGAAAGACTCTGGCAGAGCAGAGACTTAATGTGAGTTTTCTCCTAAGCTACAAGACAGCTTTCTTTTGTTTCTAGGCTGCATAAATTGTAAGTGAATGAAAATTCTGTGCATCTGGAAAGACATCTTTGTGATGTGTTTGGAAAATGCATTAATGCCTATAAACAAGATGAACCTTGAGGGCTGGAAAGAGTTACTTGGAATGGGACTATTTATGCCAAGGAAATGCTTAGATTGTTTTTTTACTGTTGGAAGTCTTGCTAGCTCAGACTTCCATCTTTTATTGAAGTTTCAACAGGGATGCATTGATTGGTTCTGTTATGGCATAAACCAAAATTAATTGTTATATATTGTGGAGTTATTAAAGCCATGCTAGTAATATATTTCTCCTGAAAACTGAGGTGATTCAGAAGTTGTGCAATCTTGTTAGTGTTAATCTCCTGGCTATTGATGTTTTCTCCCATAGTTACTAATTTATTGATAGTCCTATTATACCAAACTTATAAACTGACAAGAATGTGAAGATGGCATTACTTTTTGGTGCTTTCTGCAGTGTGGAAGCACCTGCACAATGTGCTTGACATTCACTGCAACATTCTCTCCCATCTTGACAGACGTGGGGAAATGTGAGAAAATGGGAATGTGAGTGGATGCGGCTTCAATGTGTTCCTGATCATCTGATTCAAAGTGTTCAGAACTCTTTGGAAATTGTTGTAGGAGTCATAGCATTTATTTTCAAACTGAACCTCTGTAAACTCTTCAGGCATGGCATAAGAAAAGGGCCAAAGGGGTTGCTGTGGTGATTTGATTTGTACTTACTTGAGCTTAGAGTGTGTGTACTTCCTGCTTGATTAAAAAAAAAGTGTTTTGAAGACCTAAAATTAACCAGATTCATGCAGAGCAGCAGAATTAAGAAGTGGTTATTTGTAAGTGGAACTTGGCTTTTCTCAAGTTTACTTCCCAAAAACATAACTCACAGGCCCTTAAGGAAAGAAAATGCACTTTCTGATATGAAAGCTGCCTAGAATACGGCTCTACTTCTATTTTACCAATGCCTTGGTTTTCCTTCTTTCCATTGTATATCTCCTTGCTTAGAAGAGAAAGCTGGAACATTAGGACATCAAGGTAGGATCAGAAAGCAACGTACACAAAGTCTCTTGAAGAGAATTCCAACCAAAATATGAGAAGTCCAGCTCTTAAATAATTTAAATGCAGTTCTTCATTATTACCCTGATTTATGAGAACTGCTGCCTTTCTGGCAATGATACTTAGACATTTACTAATGCACTGTCTTCTGTAGTTATTGTGTTGAATGCAGTTGATGCTATGCCATGAGTGTCCAAACTTTTGTCTTGTCTGGGTCATGCTGAGGAATTGTCTTGTCCACATATAAAATATGTAGATTGCTCTAAAAGTAATGCCTCCTCCTCATTTCCATGGAAACTGCAACAGATACAAAGAGCACAGTAACACTACTTGATGGAGCATATTCGACTGAGCAAATTCTTGGTTGCAAAACTGTTTTTCAGCAGAGCCACCACCATTAGTTTTTCACCAGCCATGAACAAGAGCCTGTGTGCCACACTCATCACAATCTGCACCAGCGGGGCTGATCTGCTGTTGCTACTTCTGAAACACATCACCTGTGCCTCACTGTGTTCACATCCACTGTTTGGTCTTCGTAAATGTTCAGTGAGTGGCACATAGGCTGGGTGTGCCTGGGCTACACAGTGCCATCTGTGTTCATGCAGAGGAGAGAATTTGTTACCACAGGTCTTGGAGGTAGAATTGGGTTTACGTGGGAACTAAGGTGTAGTGCAAAGAGCACTGGTTCCTCATCAATGTTGTCAGCTTGGGCTGTATCTTTCTAAAGATACTAAAACTCAAAAAGACAAGTTTACTGAGGGAGTAATTGTAGAACCAATATATTGCAGGGCTTGATTATCTATATGCTGGGGGTTTAATAGACCCTACAGATACTCAAGGGGTGTTTTTTACCCAAATTGTTAATTTTGTAGAGTTGAAACTGGAAATTGAAGAGTTAATAAGATTGTATCTAGCATTTTAATCTGTGAGTGTTTGAACACTAATTGCTTTCCTCATTTATAAAGAGGTGCATTTGGGTAGGCTTTGTCATACTTGATCATTCGTTTCCATTAACAAGCTGAATGTTCATGTGGACCAGGATTTGGAAAAGATCTGCTTCCTCTGCATCCATAAATCTAGGTCCATTTTATTGGCTGCCCTTTGCTGGAGCTGTTGAATGGGTGTTTGCTGTTGCCTGGGCCCTAGCCCTTGGTGTGGTTTCAATGGGTGAAGCATAAACAGGAAGAGCAAGGGTAAAAATGAGAAGATGAGGCTGAATTTGGCCATCCCTTTCATCACTGTAATGCAACCCGCACAGATGCTAGATGGAGAAATGGGCAGCAGTGTGGCTGCTTGCTTCTGTCATTTAGGGATGTGGGTAGGTGGTGTGGTGGTGATGGCTTGACAACTGGGGACCAGATGACCTTAGTGATCTTTTCCAACCTTAATGATTCTATTTGCCTACTTCTCTGTAGAATGATTACTTAGCAGTTTTGGGGCAAAAACGTGATGTCATAGGCATGGGGAAAAAATGGTAAGAGTGACATCTAGTGGCTCATAAGGAAATGTACACATTTTTTTCCTCGGTACAATGAAAGGTAAAGCAATTCCTAGTAATCTGTGATTCACTTAAATTTTGTAATACTCGAAATTTAGACATCAGTTTGGCTGATGCCAACAGTTGAGTTTGATGTCTAATGCCAAGGCTTGCTAGCTTAGTAACCTTGTCACATAGATTCTGCCTAATGGTATGGAATGGATTATATCTATATACTGCCATGTGGAGGAAGTAGGTGACTTTAGGTTTTTTCTGTTAGTTTCCAAGGACTAGATTTCTAGGCTATTGAACCAGTGGAACTAATCCTGATGCCACATAGTTATGGACAAATTCCAGTTGTCCAGTTTCCACTCTAGCATGAGCTAGATAAAGCCTCTATTGCTCAGAGGCAGTGCTTGGCTTCTGGTGGTGCATAACAATATAATTACAAGTTATATTTGAGATGCCATGAAATGAGGTTGTGTATGGACATGTTCTAAATCTGTTACAAGGAGTGTTGTGTGTATCCACTGGCTGGGCTTCCTTCAGGAAGAATGGAAACAGATGTTTCCTAAGACTTGAGAAAGGAATGAGCTCTGCTGTGTTTAGATGGAGTCACTCTCTCTCCCCTCTCTTCCCAGGGAGTCACAAGCACTTTCTGAAATCACCCTGCCCATCCATTACAGAATGGAGCTGGGTAAGTTTGGTACAAATAGAAAACGCTACTTGTATTTTGTCCCAGTAATAAAGTAGTATAGTAAATCCTGTGCTCCAGAAGGTTTTGGGTATGCATAGCATATAAGTTCACAAGTAGCTGTGGAGAGTTTTGGGAAAAGAGGTGGCATTTAATACATAGCATCAGAAGTAACTATGTCAACTCTGTCAGGTCTCATGAGTCTCTGGTAGAGCCTTGAATGTGTCCAGATGGCTGCTACCTACCTTTGTTTCCTTTCTTTTCTTCACCCCTGAAGTGAAGAGAGGAGGATGAAATCCTGTGTGGCACATGTGCTGTGTACTTTATTAATGTAACTGTCACAGCTGTGGGGTCTGAAGGAGAGGGAAGGAAACAGGTGAACTCTATTGTCCTCAGAGGAGGTCAGCATGTATTCAAATGCCAGCAAACAGCAATTTTTTTGTCTTAAAACTTGTGCTCATACCATGGAGACAGGAGCAGACTTGTCATTGGTAGGTCATTGTTAGAATAACTCCTTTGTGATGCTATAAGGCAAGCTTACTTGGCTGGAAGTTTTGTGAAGAAGTCACTATTACAACAGGCAGCAGGGAGTAGTATGAGTAGGGACTGCACAGGGGGCAAGAGGAAAGGAGTTTTTTCCAAAATAGAAACCATTCTGAATTTAGCTTCTGTGCTGTAGCAGGCAACAGGACTTCAGAATTTGGGCCAATTCTTTTTAATTTTGAAGTATGACAGCAATTACAAGTAAAACTATGCCAGCTGTTTTTCCTATGGGGAAGAGGGCCTTTCTTCAGCCATGTCTTCAAGCATAAAAGCATTATTAGTGCCTTACTGTGCTGAACATATGGCCCATCTAGACTATAGTGTATCTACTCCTGGTGGTAACAGCAAGCAGTATTGTATAAGGCTAGGACGTGACCCTGACCATTTCCTGTTATGCATTCCTCTTCTTCTTTCCCAGAATCTGTAGTCACTGGATTTAGGATCATAAGGAGGTACACATGTGCCTCCTTACATTACCATAACTATTTTGGAGCAGTTGTCAATAAATTTTTATACAGCCTGCACTTGTCTACCTGCTGATATTATTGGTCTCCTCCATCTCATGTGATTGCAAATTCCAAAGATTCACTACTTTCTGTATTTGCCAAGAAAAGTTATTTCTTTCGTGTATTTTAAACCCATTTTTCCCCATACTCTGAATGAGTGCCCCTACTTTCAGTATTGCAGTTTTGAATGAATAACAGTTCTGCTCTTACTTTCTCCACAACTCATGATTTTATAATTGTTTATATCCCCCTCTGCCTACATGCCTTTGAATTAAGGGGAAGAGTATCTCCTTGTAATGCAGCTGCTCCATCTCCCAAATTCCTGTTGTGTTTTGTGCAAGCATATGAATTGAACAAGTATTTAAATGTGGATATAGATCAGACACTCACTGTCTGAATGTCTTAGCTGTCTGCCATAACACAGAGTGAGTTGCCCAATTAAAACAGCTAGAGTGATCACAGCATGACTATTTGTTGAGTACCTTCTACGTGACCTTTTCTGAAGCTGTAGCAAGTGGATTCTGAGAACATTTGTGGGTTGAACTGCAGTGGCTTTCTGTGTTTATGGATGGAAACTGGCCAATTCACAGCCATCCCTGTGGATATCTAACTTATTCTTGAACTGAAACCAGCTGTTACAGAGGGCTGTAGCCTCACTGCTTGCATATGAAGTTTCTGGTCATTTGGGTTATGGCATTGTCCAATTTGGTTTAGATGGGTGGTTCTTGCCTGTCTCAGTGCTGAAGGCACTGAGTCCTGTTTTACTTCATATAGTTAATAACTTCGTATGTGCTGAGATACCCACCAAGTGTATGTGGATAGCTGCAGGGCAGGTACAGGTAGCAGCCACTCTTGGAGGCATTCTCCTTCATTTTTTGCCTAGGATGCTGATGCCCTCTTGAAAAATGGATCGTTAGAATTTGATGCTGCAGGCAGCATCTGTCAACTCCTTGGTCTCTAAAAAGAGTGGAGGTTGTCTTCAGGTGGTATGACTGGTAAAACTGATTCATAGATGTTGCTGTTCTTGACTTCTGGTGATTTATTATAGATCAAGCTGTCTTGTTTATTGGAAATGATCCAGACATTGATTTTTTTAATCATAGATTGAGGAGTTTCTGCTTTCATAGGAGTAGCTCTTACTGAGACCATGCTGAGCAAGAATTCTGTGCTCAGTTAAGTTGTATAACCAACCTGAATTTCAGAATAGTGGAAGGAAGGCTGAAATATTTGATTATATTGGCAATAATTCATGGGTGTAAAAGAGCATTTTATTTCATTATCTCCTACATCTAACTAAATGTGTGACTATGTAGTCTGGTGAGCAGAAGACTGCAAATAGAACTTTTGCTATGTACTTTTCACTTCTAGGGAAGTCAAGATTTTTTTTTTTAAAAAAGTAATGAGAGTAAGTGCAACTTTAAGACATTAATAAAAAATTCTGAATGTGTCCACATAATCTCATTGCTGGTTTCTCCATATTGATGTGGGAATATAATGAGCTACAACAGTAGCTCATTGTAGTCATGCTAATTATTAGGGCATGAGGCATGTTTTCTCTTGGAAGTTCTGTACATACAGTGCTATGAAGCCTGCAACACTTTTCTGGATACATTCACTAACAAAGTGTTTTCCTTTCAGTTAGATGGAATAATACTCTCCAAAGTAGGATATTCCATATCTCACACTGTTACATCTTCACTGTGAAGAATGTAACCTTGTTCCTCCCTTGCACTGAGTGGTATCTTGTAAATTTCATAGATCAATTAAGCAATGACAATGTACCAGAATTAACTCTCACAGAAGATTTTGGGATGAAAAAGGGAACATCGATTGTTTTTGGCAGTTTTTCATATGCAGCAAATACAGTGATACTTCAGCATCTTCCACACAGCTTAGTGTTAGAGTTCCTCACTAGTATCCATGCAGCATAGTGTGAATAATACTTTTTTTTGCTTTTGTGTTCTTTTTTTGTAGGGAAAGCTTTCTTTAAAGAGTGGCAAGTATGTCAGTATACAATTCCTGTGGTAGACAAAGTGCTTCAAAGAGGGAAGTAGCATCGCCTGGAAGGTCATACAGCAATTGTCTGATTCCTCAAAACTTATTTCCCAGATTCCCAGGAAAACTCTGTTCCCATCTCACAAATTCTTATGTTTGTGAACAAGGGAGTTCCAAGGGAGTATAGTTTCAGAATGCTTCTGAGATGGATATCTGATCTTCAGTGTAGTTGAGACTTGGCCTGTGACCACTAAAGTAAAGATGAGACATTGGCTGCAACTTCTTTACAGCTTTGTTTCTTAGCAATTGTGTGCTTTTTAAAGCAGGTTGGGGAACCTTGTTTATTGCACACTAATTCAACACTAATGATTCTGGTATTTATAAACCGTGTGGAATCCTTTGGGGAAGGTCATTTCTCAGAGGAAATCTCTTACATAATCTTCTGTTGCACTTGGGGTAGCAAGAAGTCAATTCTCTGTTTATTAGAGAGATGCAGCAGTGGGGAACTGGGGGGGGATATTAGCAAGGAGCTGGGGGGAGCTTTGCAGGGCTGGGTGAGGTAAAAAGTATGGATGAAAACTTCTCTTGGCAGAAGGCTTTTACAATTGAATGGGTTCATCTGCTTTTCCAGATCAGAATGGAGCAGGGCAGAAAATATCTTGAATTCTGATTCTATTAAAACAAACTAAATTATGTCCAGCTGGCAGAATATAAAATTCCCTCATATAAACTCAAACTGACTATGTGGGGTGAAGCCTGGGGTGCTGGATTTATGCAGGAGTTATCTCAATCTCTGGCTACTTGTGTGGGCATTGTCTGCATCTTGAATGTTTCCTGGAAGTAACTGTTTTAAACTCAACATTTCTGCCTCACCTGTTAGCTTATATCCAAGGCAGCTGAAGTGTTGAGGAAAGCAGAGTTTCAGCACAGTAGGTCATGCCTCTGGCAAAAAATCTGGTGTGGTGGTGTGCCATCAGAGCTCTAACAAGCCCTGAAAGGTAGCAGAAAGCAGTTTTTTTTCCTCCATGGGAAGCTGGGCTGATGAAAAAGAAAGCAGGAGGCATCTTCTGCTCAGACCAGTCTCACTGTGGATAGTGAAGCAGATTTTTGCACTCTATGCTCTTGATTTTTGGCATCACCATTTATTTTCAGGTTGGACTGAGAGAGTCTCTTCCCTCACCTCTCCCCACTGTGGTATTCAATCTATGTTAAATTGTGCCTATAAAACCTGGCTACAGGCACTTCACCTGGGCCCAATTTCCATCTGCTTGTTGTGAGAGGCCCATCCATCATGTTGTGGGAGAAGGGAGGGATAGACCTTTTTAGTGCTTTCAAGGGGCCTCTCTGCTTCTTTCTGCTAAGGTAGGTTTAAAGGTGGGAACTGTCTCTGCCATCTAGTGGAAATTCACTACCCTCTTCTTGACAATTCACTTTCCCCCCAGAATTACATTCATTTTAACTAGAGAATGGAAGTAATGTTATTTCTGATGCAAAATACATAGAAGAAACTGGTATATAGGGTCTACATCAAGAACATTCACACAGATTATTCAGGGGATAATTTTACTTGAATAAAAGTTGATGACAAGGGAAGGGAGTGAACTATCAGATACCAGGAGACAGTTCGCTACATAGATGTTGATCTTCATATTTACTTGATGTTGCTTGGTTGTTCTTTTATGAGAAAGCTGTAGTGTAGCTGTCTGAATAGGGACCAAGAGAATACTATTAATTGAATTCCTTGTTTTCATTCATTTCTGAACTTCACCATAAAAACATTTTACTTTTTGAAATTATTTTATTACAGTTGTGGCTGCTTTTGTTGCAGGAAACAGAAAACCGAGAAAACTGAAACTATGACAAGTGTGAAGCTAGGAAGGAAACTTTTCTCATTGGGAAAATCAGTACTAATGGTTGCTAGCCTTGCCACCAGGAGTTTGCTAGGGAAAAAGAAATGAGATAGGAATACTGAAGAAAACTAAGGAAAAGGTGGAAGGATGAGTAATTCTCTTGTCAGATCAGAGCTGCGAAATTTGCCACTTCCACTTTCTAAACCCATTAAAAAAAAAGTTCTGTATTTTTCTGGGAAAAATGCAAGTAGGCATATCCTGATTCTGCCACCAAGATCAAACAATTTATCTTTGTGTTTTTCAGTTTCTTCTCTGCAAAATGAGGATAAGGATAGTGGGCATTTTCTTTGTGAGCTGTAAGTGTAAGCCAATTCAGTAATAATTCCCTTTGATGCTAAATGCTGAGCATGCTGCAGCACTAACAAGTTGCTGGCTAAATGTTGGTGAGATTTAGGACCTTGTGAAAGTCACAAGTAGTGACACTTGTGATTTTACACAAATTAATGCAATTTATTCTGTTTCCTTCTATGATCTTTCCCATGGGGAAAAAATCAGGCAGTTTCCACTGCCGAGATGCAAACTACAAAGCTGATTCCAATGGAAAACTAGCTTGTGATCTCCTGATGAAAGATTAAACAAAAAAAAAAATCCAAAATTCAAGTTATTTTTGAAGATGTTTTTGTTTTGGGATGATTTTAAAATGCCTGATTTTTGATCTTGTTTTTACTTAATATGTTGAATTTTAAAAGTACTTGATTGACTTTAGCTTTGTTTTGTCTTTATAGTTCTTAGCTGTTTATCAAAAAACCCAACAAACCAAAACACTCATGTACACTGTAAACAATTCAATTTGAAGACTTACTCTAATTTTAGTAGGTCTCTTTGGCTCTCTTTTGAACTACTGATCGTAGCAATAGATGCAGCTCACATAGTCCTGCCAAATAGCTCTGTTTTTCCCAGGAGTGTCAGATCTCCTGTGTGAAGGTTATAAAAACTCCTGTGTGAGTGTATTATCTAGAGGTATTTGTGGATGGGAGAGGGCTGGGGGGAGGTAGAAATAGGCATCGGAATACAACAAGGCAAAGAGGGGAAAGTTTGTGCTGAGAGAGCACATCTGAAAGGCGCTCAGAAATGGATGACCTTCAGAGGCTAGCAATGCTGCTGGATTCACAAACAT